TACATATATGTTACATATACTTACATACAATTATAATTAATTACAGTTAGCGTAAATCAAGTGAAACCAAAACGAAATATAATTGTATTAAATCAAATATATAACTCAAATACATGAACATATATATATATATATATATATATATATATATATATATATATATATACTATATACATAATTACATAGTTATATACGAATATTTATATATATATATATATATATATATATATTAATGATACCACAAGAAAACGAATATGACATAAAAACAAAACCCATATAAAATTCCACAAATAAAGGACAAATATATTTATTACAATATTTTTGTTTTGATTCTATTATTCCTAATTGCATATTGGCTTCGTTTTTAAAATTTAAATTAGTTTCAGCTGTGTTTCGAGCCGGGGGTGGAGCTTAAAGTCAACTCGATCTTGCGGATATTCTGGACCTTGCGATAACTACTCATTCGTAACATCGTCGAAAGCTAGTGAGTTGGCGAACAGCCAATATTCTTTAGTCAAGATTTGATTTTTAAGAGATTTAAATAGCTTCACAGATCAATAATATACTAAGACTAAGGCTAGCGAAATACTTTTTCATATTTTGAATTGGCTCAAATTGAATTTGAATCTTAAGTACCCATTTTATATATATATATATATTTTCAATATACGGAAGTCAAACTGTAAATTTAGTAAGCAGTAAAAACAGACTGTTAGTATTTTGTTTTCTTTTTTCATTTTGGTATTTTTTCGTGTGCGGTGGCGGGGTCTGGCTGGCCGTGGCTGTGTTGGAATGCAAAAGACAAGAGCAGTTGGTCCGTTGGTCTAAGCAGCTGCGCAAATTGAACTCTCAAACACAACAGGATGTCCGCTGCTGAGCAAGGCGGAAGCTGTTCTGAAAATAACACAGCAAATAACTTCTGCAACCGCATTTGGGCTCCTCTCTCTCTCTCTTTTTGTCGCTCTGCCCCGCTGACACACGCATAGAGTGCAGCAGCCACAGACTCAGAGACACACACAGGCAGAGCGGGAAACGCAATCACTGTCTCTGCAATGAGATCAAACTTATACTTGGTTAACTAACTAAGCTTAAGGCTTAAACAAAACTGAGGCTTAAAATATATTTACTTTTTATTATACTATCTGCGTTATCAATCAACATCAGCTATATGGTTCTAAATAGCCAATAAGCTGAAGCGTTTATATGCTAATTAGAATATTTGCCTATCTGAATTGGAATAAAAATTAAAAAGTCCTAATGGGATAAATTCCTAGAAAGCCACACAATGAGTTTTAACACAGACCAAGATACTGAAAATGAAAGTATGTTAAGCTATAATCTGTCTAAAGTCAAGTTTGGCTTCTTTAAAGTAAGCTTCGACACGTGAACTAGATTTCAGCTTTAATTTGTAATGCCCAACTTGGAGACTAAAAGCTAAAATCTGTGCACATTTCATAACAATTGAAATATGTCTTGCGCTGGGTGTGCGTGTGGGTGTGCGTGCGGGTGTGTGGGTGTGTGTGCCTATCTATGTGCGAGCAACGCTTACTTTCACTTTCAATCAGCGCCCGGCAGCAGCCTGACCCTTGGCAGCCGTTACCGTTACCGTTAACGTTACTGTTAGCCGTGCAATGGGCCATGGCCAACAGCATCTGCCAATACAAAATTATGCGCATCCCGCATCCAGCACCCGCAAGGCATTTTGGCCACGCTCTGCGAAGGGTTGAAGCTCGCCTTTGCCTTCGCTTGCGCCTCCCCAAAAATTGACTTTTAATGAAAACAATTGAAAATTCTCAGGCAGTGGAGCTAGCTGGCTGGCTGACTGGCTGACTGGCTGGCTGGCTGACTAGCCAAGTTAGCTGGAAAAGGCAACGACTGCTCAATGCTGGGCTGCGGTTATTAATTTCAATTAAAGCATTTAACCGGCAAGCCCCAACAGCCGGCAGTATCCTTTTTATTTGGGGCTTCTGTTTACACAACCGCCAAGCAAGCGGCGCATAATTTTCAAACAACAACTCCACGACTCTCAGTCTCTGCCCCTGGCTCTGGCTTTGCCTCTCCTGCCACTGCCTCAAATTAAGGCGTGAAATATTCGCGCCAAAAGTTTCGTCTGCCCTTAAAGAGTTAACTCTGGCATAGAAATAGGTGAGACATTTGATGCTACAACCAGGTGATCTAATCAAAGTGAGCTTTGATTAGCTACAGCCTGGCCCCCGAGCAGATTCAATTAATTCAAAAACGCTCTGCACTTGCACTAGCATTAAATACTAAAAAGTAGAAGAAAAGAAAACAAAATAATTATGCGCCTTAGCCTGATTATAACGTAATTGGCCAAGTCTAAAATCGCTCGAGCAACAACAACGACTGCAGCTGGAGCTGGAGTCGCTCAGTTTTAAAGTGAATGCATTTTAAATGCTCGACGACTGCCAGGCTATTTACTTAAGTGCCACAGAGCAGAGGCCAGTGGGTTCATGGGGTTAGGGATCAGAGGCCAGGGGCTACCAGACGGCCAGACAGACAGCCGGCGGGACAGTGGCAAGCGAGTGCATGGCTCGACTGCACTGCCGGGGTTACTTATGGAGGGATATTTATGCGACTCGACCCGGTTGCTGGCAATTTTATCGGCCAGCCGTTAACTTCATCAGCTTGTATTTCAATTTCATTGTCGTTCTCTCATTTGCCATACCCTCGTAACACAGCGTATCGTGGGGTCTATGCAGTTGCAAGTAAGGTTTGATGGAACACTTAATATGTTTTTTACGGCAAAGGACTTTAAAGTTTTTCACTGCTTGTCAAACTAATATATGCAAAAATTATAAAAAAAACGTTAAAAAATGTTTTTTAAATACTAACAGAAGTAGTAAGCGCTTAGTTCCCAGCCTTGTCTATCTCTCTCTCTCTCTCTCTCTATCATTATTTTTCTCTTTACCTCTCTCTGCATCTACCTACCTATCTTTCCTTTTTCTTTTTATATCTCTCTCTTTCTCTTTTTACTCTGTGTCCCTCTTTTTCTTTCTTTTTCGCTCTCTTTCATTGTCTTTTTCTCTCATCATCTCTCTTTCTATCTCCCCCTAGCTATCTCTCTTACGCTTTTTAGTTCTATATATATCCCTATCCCTCTTACTCTATCTCCCTTTCCCTCTCTCTATTTATTCCTTCTTCCTCTTTCTCTCTCCTCATCTTTACCTCTCTCTCCCCCTCTACGGTTTTCATATAACAACATTTAGATAGATCTATACTATACTTCCGCCTTCACTCTGCTCAAACAGGGTATCTTTGCCGCCTGTCTTTCTCTACTTCTCTCTCTAGTTCTGTGTGCTAATTGGGAGATGACTTTAAGGCTGTGGCCACTATCAACTATTCGAACAACTTGGTCTTCTAGCTCGAACTTTGAACTCAATAAAATGAAAAGAAAAAACTGAATATAAAAGAAAAACTGAAATGTAAATTAAATACATATATAAATAAATATATATATTTATATATATATATATATATATATAGAGAGAGAGAGAGAGAGAAATATATATATATAGAATGCGTTCGATTTTCAGTCGTTTTTCACACTTACAATCAGATTGGGAATATATAAATATATATATAAAAATTTATATATGAAATTTAGTAGCTGACTATTTGGTTGCTTGGCATTTGTTTACGAGCCGACAATCCCAGTTGGAAACTCTGGGCAACCAGCGACAATAACAACAATAACAAAATTAACTGCTCGGCCCGGCGCAAATTATAATCAAAATTCGTTCGCTGGATAAGGCCAAATCTCTAGAGACTCGACAAAATGGTAAGCAAAGCAAAGCAGATCTTTTTAGCGTACAATCAACGCTGTTTAACAACTGGAATGCAGCAAAGTGGGAGCAGAGGAGGAGCAGCGGAGGAGCAGCAGCTGCAGCAGCACTTACTGCAGCATCTTTAAACATTGTCCTGTTGTCCGTTGTTTGATGCAGCGCTGATAGGAGCCATGGCTTGCCCTTTTGGCCGCCCCCTTTTTGGGCCAGCCCCAGCCTCAGGCATTGGCACATTCAATTTTTCATGCCAAGCCAGGCTGTTGTGCTGCAACAACATGCTGCACACACACACACACAACTCTCACTATATATATATATATGTATATAGTAAATATATGCTTATGTCTCAGTTGCAGCGCCTCGTGCCTACTGCTGTTAAATGGCAAAAGAATTGTGCAGCATGCAACAAACCCGCGTCACAGTTGCTGCTGCTGCTGTTGTCCATTTTCGACAATTTGTACATTCAAGCACAACCCGTATAACATGTACATATATATATATATTCATGTATATGTATACTATTATTATTTATGAAAATTTTACGCCTTTCGCCAACGCCAACACCAGTGAGCCGCGGCTGGTGCGGATGGAGGCTGGGCTGAGTCGGGCCGGGCCGGGCCAGGCGCGGCTTCGAAAATTTTTGAATAATTTGCAGTCATAAAATATGCAATAAGCCAACAGCTGTTGTGAAATTGTTTTGAAAGCCGCGCCATCACATTATTTAAAACGGCGACGTTGCCACCGCCTCAGACTCGTGCCACCTCTGGCACGTCATGCAACACATCCGATGCTCCTGCTGCTGCTACTGCTCCTGCTGTTTGTCCTGTCCTGTGGCTGGCTGGCGCCTTTTTCGAGGATGCATTGCAGAAAGAAGAAGACGCAGTAAAAACAGCTCGTTACCGTCGCAGCAGCCAGCAAAAGAAATCGAATTAGACATTAAGCAAGCTTTCTTTTTTACTCAACCCATCCACAAGTCTAGCTATTCCCACCCGAAATCCTTGAAATCTTTTTTACTAATTGCTGCCTTTACATGTCTCCAATTTGCACTTGAATTCTCCCGATTTGATTTGGATTATTTTCATTTTACATTTTTAATACTTTTAAATTCGGGTATGTTTTTAGTTGTGAAAAGCCTTTTCTGCATTGCCATGAATTCATTTTAAATATTATTTTCCTTCTGCAGCCACCCAAGGGTAAAAAAGGCAAAAAGGGCAAGAAGTTGCCAGGTGAGTTAACAACCACATTGATCTAAGCTCGCAACAGGGCCGATCCTTAACACGATCTTCACACATATAGCACATCTGCATATACTACCCAAAAACTGATATATATCCTAGGCAACTTAATACTTATATCGAGCTTAGAGCATGTCCAATGTTTAGTTAATTCACATCAAATTTGATTTATTTAGCTATGGATACCTCGCAGAGACTTGGCAGCGCCCATAACTGACTGCATGTATCGAAGTATAGCGCCTCAGTTTTAGATGATAATCCCATTTAATTTATACCAGCAAGGGTCCAAAAATTTTGTTTCTTTGAACTCTGCTTTATGTTTTTGAAAATAAAACAAAATTGAGCTCTGTAACATTTCAGTAAATATGCATTAAAAAATTTAAAAAAAATAGCGTTTAAAAAAGTTGGTAAAGATTTGCCAGATAACTAAAATTTAGATGTAGATGCTAAATTTTAGTTTTTACAATGTTTTCTATAAGAATTGAATTTAATATTTTTTATTTTATACACAAAATAGATTGGGAGTCCGCTACTTTCAATGCCATCAACGCTGTGCATCTAGCCTTTGCAGACAATACTTACATAGATGTATTATATTGGGCTCGATCAAAGCTGTTCATTTCATCAAACTTGAATTTCCGAACTTTGAGCTTTCTTAAGTTCCATAGTTACAAAATTCTTACCTCTTTCCCATTCCCAGTTTTCCACTTTTGGCTGAAGCATATTCCTCTATCTAAAGATTGAATTCTGGGAAATCAATCCAGATACATATTTAACAGCTAGTTAAGCTGTCAGTTAATTATTGACATGCAGCCATAGATCAGGTACTTAAAGCTCCAGGCCGATAGCCGTGTTAGTCTTGAGGCTGGTCAATTTTTAAACGCTCGCAATGCAATTGCCCGCTCAGATAGCATAAACAGTTAAGTACCAAAGTCGGAGCAGCGTAAGTAATTAATGTGACTGGTAAAGTTGTGCTCGCCCAGCGAGCAGTGGGTCGTCGGGTCGTTGGATCGTTGGGTCGTTGGTTCGTTGGGTGGGTCTGTCAGTTGGGCAGCACAACAATTTGTCAAATAATGATAATCTGAGGCTTGGTCAGCAGGAAAACAGAGTGTGACAAGTGGCGTCCATGTTGGCCACATGCTCAATACAATTTAATTGTGCAAGCGCAACCCAAACGCAATGCCACATGCTCCACTGCAGCGGCCCAGACACACCAACACACACACACACACACACACACACAAAGAGAGAGACAGAGCGAGCGGAAAAAAAGACGCACTTAATTTCCACGAGTGAACAAACCAGCTCGCAGCTCGGCCTCTAACGCACATAATTGTTTCTATGGAGGATGTTGTCGTTGGATGCGGCAGGACACCAGTGGCAGGACATGCGGCAGGAAGTTGGAGGCCGGACTCAGCACCAGCCGGTGAACGATGCCAATTACACAAACCAATTACAGCAGGAGCTGTACACATGCGGGCACAAGTGCAATCCTAAAACACACACACACACACACACAGCACACACACACACACATTAATGGGCAAAAGACATTACGCTGCATTCTTATTAAATTTGCTCATAACAGTGCTGGAAAGTTTAAAGCTTTGTTGACCCATTGCAGTGCTCATCGATGGCGTGGACACCTCGGCGATGACGCGCGATCAGCTGGAGGCGTTCTCGCTACGCCTCAAAGCGGAAATGGATCGGGAGCGGGAGGAGCGTAACTACTTCCAATTGGAGCGCGACAAGATACGCACCTTCTGGGAAATCACGCGCCAGCAGCTGGGTAAGCGGCGTATTAACTGCAAATCATAAGCCCAACTAAGTGTTCTCCATACGTAGAGGAGGCCAAGTTCGAGCTGCAGCAGAAGGACAAGGAGATTGAGGCCACACAGGACCTGGCCGACATTGATACCAAGCACATAATGCAGCAGATGAAGCATCTGCAGTTCGAGAATCATAGCAAACTGGGCGAGGTGCGCGCCGAGGCCATGACCCAGCTCAAGGTGGCCCAGGAGCATCATCTGCTGCAGGAGCTGGAGCTGCAGACCGACAAGCGACAGCTGCGTCGCATTGTTCGCGAGCGCATCGAGATGAGCGACATGCAGCACCGCCAGCTGGAGGCGCACTTCAATCAGCAGCTGCTGTGAGTATCAAACGCAACGATTCGAAGATCCAAATTCAAAATTCAAAAACAAACCAAACAAAAAACAATCTACATCTAAATCCAGGGAGCAACGTCTCCTATTTGAGAGTGAGCGCAAGGATAATGATCGCCTGCACGACGAGAAGATGAAGGAGCAGCGCAGCAAGCTGGAGCTTTTTTTCAACTCGCAAATGTTCGAGGTGGAGGAGCGCAAGAATCAGCAGATCAAGGATCTGCAGGATCACCACGATCTGGCGTTCAACGACATGAAGAACTATTATAACGACATCACACTGAACAACTTAGCGCTGATTGGCAGCATGAAGGAGCAAATCGAGCAGCTGCGCCGCCAGGCTGATCGCAGCGATCGCATTGCGGCCGAGGCGACCACAGAGACGCGTCGCCTCAAGGAGCCGCTGGAGCACGCCAAGACTCATCTCAAGGAGCTGCAGCGCAAGCTGGAGTTCTACGATCGCGACAAGCTGCAGTTGAGCCGCCTCAAGAAGAGCAACACCATACTGGAGAAGAAGGTAAAGAGCTTGATGTGGGAGTCGGAGACGCTCCTGCTGCGCAACGATGCTCTTGTTGGCGAGCGAGCCAATCTGAAGGCTCGATTCAACGAGGTCATCGTTGAGCTGCAGCAAAAGACCGGCCTCAAGAACGTGCTGCTCGAGCGCAAGATTGCGGCGCTGATGCGCGAGGACGAGAAGCGCAGCATCATCCTGCGCAAAACAATGGCCACCTGCGCTCCCGAGTTCGCCGAGAAGCTGGAGAACGTGGAGAAGACCGTCAGCGATGTGGTCGACACCAAGAACCAGACCATCATCGATCTGCGCTACGAGCTGGCCAAGGCCTGGAAGGCCCACGACGATCTGCTCGAGACATACGAGTGCAAGCTCAAGCAATATGGCATCCCAACCGATGAGCTGGGCTTCGAGCCAATACGCGAGCGCACCAACCAGCAGCTCTACATATGCGGACCCGCTGGCATTGTCACCGAGAACAAGTGAATTCCGAGCAGTACACACACGCACACATACACACACACATAGACCGAGACTGATGATTGATTACGGGTTGGCGACACTTAAAAGTTACCAAAGGGAAAAGCAGCAGCAAATGTTGAGGTTGAGTTCAATTTTGTTTATTCAACTTTATGTCGTGTACAAGTATATGTATGTATATATATATATATATATATATAAATATATATACATATACATTTACATATATAGATCTGTATATATATATATATATTTATATATATATATATATATAATATATATGTGTGTGTGTATATATAAATATCTGTCTGAGCAGATATGCAAGTATATAAAAAGAAAACGTATAAAAAATGTAGAAATTAAATAGAAATTACACTTTTAGCAAGCGAATTTAGTACATCGAAAGAATATATCCAAATATAATACTAAGGCGTCGTCATATTGCCGTCGAGTTCTTCTAGATAGATAGATAGATAGATAGATACATTTTGAATGAATCGTCATTAAGCCTATTGTATTTTAGTATTTAAATTAGTGAGTATATAGTATCGTATCGTATCGGATATTGCTTCAATCAATAAATTGGCGTTAACTATATATGCATATACACATACATATACTTAACTGTATTTAGTACTAACTAAAACATTATAACATTAGACATTTTACGTATGCTAAGTACTCGGCTAACAGAAATGATTAATAAAAGACAAAGTGGTGAATACTTGTTGTAAAATACATTCATTAGGGGTAAACTTAAGATAGATTAACTTAGGCGCAATTTGTTTATATTTCGTTCATTTATTTTCGTTTTTTTTTTTTCGGATCCAATTGCTGAAATTTTACAAAATTTTCCTATATGTTTTGGTTTTCCTTTTCGTTCATTTTGTTTTTACCATTTTTTATTTATATTTTTCGTATTTTTTTGAATTGGGTTTGCGGTTTCGCTTATTTTTCAAATAGATATCACATAAAGTTTTGCTTTTTGTTGCTGCTAATGCGGATCTATAGGTTCGTCTGTAGGTTTCAAAACATTTCAGCTGATCTCAAGCTTTTTTGATACTGTTCATATTTGAGTTGGCGTAGTTCTTAACAAATCAAATCGTAGTTTTTATGATTTCAACTATAGATATATACAATACGGAATACAACATTATATTAGTTAGTTAATACTACATGAATACATAATATATTTATATATATGTGTGTGTGAATGTGTTTATGTTTGTTTGTTTGTATGTGTGTGTGTTTGTTTAACTGTTGCTGTATTGTGCCAGTTTGTGTTAGTATTCAAATTTCATTTGTTGCTTTTGAATTCTGAGTCTAGGTACGTTTTTTGGTAACACTTTTATTTTGCTTTCACTTATTTATCTTGTTTTTTGCTTTGCTCTTGTCATTTCGAAATGATTTGCATTCCAGTCCACAAGGAATTAACTTATATTTAATTGAATCTATATTAGTTTAAGTTTCTCTTGAGTTTCATCTAATTTGTTTGTTTTTGCTTTTGTTTTTGTTTTAAATAAAAATTTCAAAGCGATCACAACGGTTTACTTCACAGATGCGTGTGGACACATGTCAGAAATGTCCATAGAAATACATATTTCTTATTTTCTTTTAAAGTTTCAATAATTTTTCTCTTTTTTTTAAATCCTTTTTCTATTGCTATTTGTTTTTCTTTTTTAATACTTTTTGCTAAGCTTCCAAATTGTATTTGTTTGATTGGCTTCTTTTGTAGTATTTTATATAAATTTAAATGTATTCAATAAAAATTTCTCGAATCTCTTGTCTGTTTGCTGTAATTATTGTTCAGTTTAGGTTTAGGCTTTCTATATATATATATACATACATATATATACATGTCTGAACGTGTGCGTGTGTTTGTGTGTGTATGTGTCTGTGTGTGTGTATGGCACATTAGGAGTTCTTAGCTGTATAAATTTGTGTCTAAGCCTTCGTTTCCTCATTTCTTTGTTAGTTCATTTCAATTTTGCTTTTTAGTTACATAAAATGTCACAGTATTTTGGGCAGTTGTTTTTTTAAATATGTTCAAAACAAGATCTAATTTTTACAATATTTAATGTTGAATTTGTTGTCTAGTTTGTTCGTGGGCTTTTAACTTATTTGTTAGTTTGGACTATTTTCATTCAGTTTTGTTTCGTTTGAAAATTTTATCTAAATGCTTTCTTTTGCTTTTCGGTTTCGTTTTTGTATTTGTTTTTATATTGTTTCAGTACTTTTACGAAGAAATTCCTTGTATTTAATATGTATGTTTAGTTAAAATTAAAGATTGACTAACATTTTGTTTGTAAGGCAATTTGTTTGTGTTTTTTTCTCGCTTTGCTCAGATTCACTTGTATTGTATTTTTAATCCAAATTAAATTTAGATTCAGTTCATTCGTTTTCGAAATTAAATTATCAATTAAATTCTTTAACTACGCCTAATTACCAATTTAATGCAAGTGTGTACAACAATGTGGTACAAATCGTTCCAAAAATCAGCGTTGTATAGAGTGAAAGTATATACTCTTTATATACTTATGTACGTATAAGTGTATATGTGTGTGTGGGAGTGTGTATGTGCCTGTATATGTGTGTGTGTAGCTTAAGAGCTATTTAAGGTATGCATGTAAATATTTATATAATTAATAAGCATCAAAGATGTACGTGAAAAGATGCGCACATGAAACAATGAATGCTGTGTCTAGCTGTCTCTTGCTGCGTGTGCGTGTGTCTGATGTGTACTTGTGTGTTAGAGAGATGCAAATTGAAAGAGATGGAAGTATAGAGAGCACAAAATAGTTTGCAGTAACATGCAAGTATATGCTCATTATACGGTGGACTTTTTCCAGTGACAGGATGATATCCTGTTTGCTTGCTGCCGCAGCGATTTGAGTTTATAGCAGATAATGATTTCTTTGGTTACCGGATGCCGTTCACTGGGTTGTGTAGCACAGAAATTGTAGTAGTTTACAGCTTAGAAGAACTTGCCTTGAGCGAAGGCATTGATCAAGCGTGGCGTCTGTTCGGTAATGCTGCACAACTCCAATATGTTCTCGTTGCGCACATTCGAATAGCTCATGGATCCATGGTGCTGACGCAGACTCATTATAATCAATCTGCAAATGGGAGGAGATTTAATATTGTATGTATGAAGTATTGCATGGGGAATCGAACAGGGCGAGGAATTATATTACTTGGCATTGTCATTTCGCTTCTGGCGATATTCGTCAAGCCGTTTGCATAGTTGTTCGGACTTATTCCTTTGATTTCCACGCGTTCCACACGGCACCAGCACCAAGAAAACATCATACGTCTGCTCTGTATCCTGCAGCGCATTGTCGACAACGTCTGTTAAAGTCTGCTTGATTTTCATTATTTTTTGTCCCTCACAAGTAGCTTTTGCGTCGTCAACCGACATCTCTGGCGTCCATGGTAGCCCTTTTAGTTTGCCACTCTTGTCGTACCAAATTCGAACGCTTACTTTAGGGTCACATTTGAAGTAGCCAAAGGCAAAAGCAAGTACTGCATCGATATACTTGATCGACTGACAACGTCCAGTGAGGCATTCTAGAAAAGCAAGTTAAATGCTAAAAAATGTTATTTTTCGATGTTAAAAGCTTACGTACTGCCCAAGTAACACATCTCCAGATTAATTGTTATATGCAGTCGCAAGCCGAGTGGCCTATTGAAGCCAAAAGATTGTTTGTACAACTTCTGAAGAAGGCTGGACGGCTTTGGTGACACAACTCCCTTCGAAATCTATCGGTTCAAAATATTATAATAGATCTCAATAACATACATTAAAAGCACTCACCACTTTACGGTGCTTGGCTCCGCGAGTTTCCAGCAACAGCAGCCGTATCGGCGCTATGTTAGCTGCACGCAATTCTGATGGATCGAAGAAGCGCTGAGAGTAGCACAGCTGGGCGCTGCGGTTCGACTTGTTGAGTTTGAGAAACGATGGCCAGCTCTGCAGCATCTGATCGTAGCTCATTTTGCTCAGCAGTAGGTTGACAACTTTTACATCAGAAACAAGGTGACGCGGCAAGTGCTCATAGCTAAGCGAAAGTTTCTTTATAAGGGGCAGGGCCACGTCTACGCTTTGGCTGAGGCGCAGATTTGCAATGCCCACAATGGTTTCTTTGCATTGCACAACTGGCTCAAGATAGTCGGGCCAGTTAACTAGCTCCTTGACGTGCGTAGTCAGCACACGCAACGCCGCCATCGTTTCAGCATCGATCTTAGCACTGGTGTAGTGGCATCGCTGTAGTAGTAAACGATGCTGGGCCCAGTTGCAATCATTCAATGACCACATGTGCAGCAGCTTGTCAAGCGGCTGTTTTTGGTACCACTCCAGGATAGCTTTGCGCGCGGTGCGACTGAAGGGCGTTTTGCGGCCCAGCAACTTTTGCACTTGGCTCACGAAATTCACGAACAAGAACAAGTCCTTGGCAGTGCGCACAAGTTCAACGAAATACCCGCGCACCAGTGTGCGCTGCTTTTCATCAGTGTGCGAAGAAAGGTAAACGGCCAGGACAAGTAGCGTCTCATCGTGGCGGGGCAAATACTGATCATTGGATGCATCCAGCAGAGCTCTTAGGCATTCAATCAGCTCCGTCTCATTAACTGCTCCGCACAGCTCTCGCAATGCCACAAAGTGGCCTTCCAAAGTCAGGTCAAAAGCTTTAGGTGCATAAACAGGCTCCTCAATTGCACCAAGGTAGCAAAAACGGCGCAGCTTGTCAATGGCCGAAGGAACAACTATTTGTCGCAGTAAATAAAAAAAAATGTATATTTGTATATAAGTAGACAAAAAAAAAAAAAAAAAAAAAAACAAACACAAACACACTTTAATATGTATGCATGTGTGCAAGTTTATATACATATATATGTGTGCATACGTACTGTGCATCATTGTGCCCTCCTCTGCCGACTCCAACTCCCGACTGTCATTCGAATTCGCATCAGTTTGTTGACTCGCTGCAACTTCTGCTGTTAACAATAATCGTTTCTTCATGGTGCCAGGGCCAGAGCCACAGCCCTGGTCTGTGTTGACTGCAGAAATGCTTGGGAATTGTTGCTGCAAGCGTTAAACTGACGTCAACTTTTTGTCTGTACACCACTCAATTAATTAATATATAAGCACGTTTACTTTTCATTTCGAAATATTTACATTTACAAGAGTTGAGCAAAGTGCAATGTATCGATGGCATCATCGCAGCGCGAAATCTATCGAATTGTTCGGCAGTCGACTATTACGTTTATTATTACAGGTGCGCAGTGAATGTTTGCCGCCATGTTCAAATAAGATAACCATTCACACAGCTGATCATTAATAAATTTAATATCAAAGCTATCGATATGTTTAATAGTTCGATAGTTGCGTCATATCATATTAACATAAGATATAAAATATTTAAGTTACGTTCTTGTTACAGATAAATAAAACTATGTGCTTTATGGTAAGTAATATAATACGGTTTCTGCGTACATAGTATATATAACTTTAATATCCCAATATCAAAACATATATTAGGACACTAAAAATTATAGACTATTTCAAAAATATACATATATATAAATAGAAATAAAAAATACAAGTACACTTTTCGCAAAAGTATGGTAAAATGATGAATGATCACTCAATGAATTATATGAGAATTACCGATAGTAACACTTTTTCTTATCGATTGTTAATATCGATATTAGTGCAGCAACAATTCAGTGTTTTACCGGCGCGCATGTTTTCTGGTGTTACGGGTTTTTGTTTTTGTTGAACGATTTTGTGATTCCAGCGCCTTGGCCATTGCCATGTTGCGTACACATCTATTCCAAAATGTGCGTCTGCATTTTCGATTGCAACGAGCCACAGCTGGAGCAGCCATTTCGGCACCAACAGCACGTGGATGTCCGCATTATGCAATTCTAATGAGTAGCAGGACAATAATACCAGCACTTCAGCCACTTGCAAATAACTACACGACGGTGGCATCCAATTCAGTGGCACGGCCAGCGGCGACGCACAAGAAGCGCATAGGGAAGGCCAACGAACGCATCCCAACAATCGCTAGTCTCGACGATCTGTGGACGCAGCTGGAGCAACACTATCAGCAGCATAGTGTGCTCCGTTATGAGCACTGCGAACATGTGCTGGCGCTAGTGGAATCCAAACCCAGTGGAGTACAGCAAAAACTCAGTGCCGAGCAGCTGCATTTTCTACTGGGAGGCTGTGTGCCGGAGCTGTTGCCAGTGCTCAGCAGCAGAGAGCGTCTGGAGCTGTTTCGACGACTATGGGCTCAACTGCTGAAAGTGGAACAGCCCTCAATGTCGCACTATTACACGCAGCTACAGATGCTGCACCAGAACCAGCTACCGTTGGCCGACCACCGAGCACTGCTTGCTGAGATCGCTACTTACAACGGCGCAGCGGACGTGACCCTCTACAGCGCACTGCTGGATGTAGCCGGCGCAAGTGGCAACATGCGACAGGCCACCGAATTGCTAAGTGAGATGCGTGAACGCAACTTTCCACTTTCGGAGCGCAACTTTCATGCCCTTCTGCTCGGCCATGCACGGAGCGGAGATTTGGCCGGCGTCGAAACAGTTCTAAGCAGCATGCGAGCGGCGGGCATAACGCCCAACGCCAGCACACAGTCGCTGTGCTTTGTTGCCTACGTGGAGAACGGAGAGCTGACCAAGGCACGCGACTTACTAAAGCGGCATACAGGCAGCTTTAATGCACCGCAGTTAATACAAATGCTACGAACCGTGCTCAACGAAAAGCAAGTGGACGTGCAGTTGCTGCAGCAGCTGGTGGCTCAGTTGCCTGTGGAGTATGTGGACGACATCGATGTACCACCGGCCCTTAACAGCCTATGCATCCAGCTGCTGCATAGAGACCAGGCGGGACTAATGATTCAGCTGGTTGGACTGCTGCCGGCGCCCAAATTCAACGAGAACCAAAATATCGATGGCTATGCGGCGTACTTGCTGCAGGAACTCTTCCGTGCGCGCACCCCTCTCGACCAGATGCTTCAGTTTGCCACCCAGTTGCGCCAGCGCGGTCAGAACACGCGCGCCTTGGAGGTGCTCGCGGAACTGGCATTGCGTCGCCAGCCGGCCATTGCATTGAGCTGTATAGAGGCTTTGAATGCCGCGGGCGAGCCGCTGCGTCCGCACTACTTCTGGCCCCTGTTGCTGCAGCAGCATAAGCGCGAGGGCGAGAGTGGTGTGCTCCGGGTGCTGGGCGACATGCATCGCCTGCACGTGGAATGCGACGAGCAAACACTGCGGCAGTATGTGCTGGTCAATCTGTGGCAGACGTTGCAGCAACCGCTGCAGGCACTGCAGCAACTGGACGCTGTAGGCGTGCGTGCCTCCCAGGCGCTTGTCCACGTGCTCAGCCAATTGCTGCAGCAGCAGGAGCTGAAAGCAGCGCTCGACCTGCTCCAGCGTTATCCGACACGTTTCCAGCTATCGACACTGCTGCAACCAATGGCGTCGCTGGCGGTGCACGTGCGGGCGACCAAACGCTTCGAGCAGTTTGCCCAACTGACGCAGGCGTTGCAGCAGCGTTCGTTGCAGCGTAAGGATGATTTTATTGGAGCTCTGATGCTTCAGATGTGCGGCGCACAGACGCGCTTGCGCCAGGACCCGGCATCCCTGTTGCGCTTCCTGCACGAGATGCAACGCCTGCAGCTGCAGCTGTCCCCAGCAGCGGCCGAATCACTGCTAAACCTGGTGAGCAATGCCGATACGGACACACGACAGTCGCTGGGTAAAACGCTGCAGAAGATGCGCAACGTGGAGTTGACATTGCCAGCAGATACGCTCGTGGCAGTTGGCGGATTCATCAAGCATCCGCGCGACATGTCGCTGGACGAACTCGAATGCCATCTCATCGAACTCGAGACAAAACAGCTAAATACACGCGGCGTGCTGCGACGCCTGCTGCAGATGAGCGTGCGCGATGGCCGCTTGGAACGCGCGCTCGAGCTGCAGAGCAAATGCGATGCACTACATGTACAAACCAGCCCCGGCATGCTGGCCGCCATCTTTGATCTGCACATCAAGCTGAAGAACCTGCCCCGTGCGCAGCAGAGCCTTCAGCGTTTGCAATCCACATATCCAGGTAAGTGTTCGCTAGATATCAGTGCGTGGATAAGTAATCAATGTATATAATTATAGGGTTCCTGCTGGACGAGCACAAGCTGATTGACTACGCAGCTCTGCTCGTGGAGGAGGGTCAACTGGATGCAGCCAAGGAGCTGTTGCAGCGGCGCGCCGAGCAGCATAAGATCAACGGCGGCAACTATGTCATGAAGAACGTCTGGCAGTTGCTCACGAATGTTGCCAAAATGGCTGCAAAGCAAACTGCATCCACGCCCAACTCCGCTAGTCCCACACTCGAAACGTTTCAGTTTTTACGCAAGCTCGGCTATTGCCAGACACATAATACTCTGCTGGGCCCTGTGCTGCGCGAATGGCTGTACCGTGGCGATATGGATGGTGCGGTGGCAGAGTTTCAGCGCATGGCCACGCGTCACAACCACACGCCGCTGCAGTTCGAGATGCTGTCGCTGCTGGTAAAGCTTAGCAACGGCGACGAAACGGAGCTGGCACGCTTTCCGGGCACGACGAAGGAGTCGGCGCAGCAGCATCTGGTCACAGTTACGTCGACGGTCAGTCGAGTGCATGGCGCAGCCAACATGAATAGCGCCCTGTTGCTGGCACTGGCGGAGTCGGGCACTGAGACTCAGCTGCGTCGCCTCATCATCAATCCAGAGTTTCGGCTCAATCATGACCTGCTCCTGAAGAACTGTGAGCACCTGGGCCAAGAGGGCGCCGTACGCACACTCCTGCGTCTGGCCCGTGGCGTCCGTGGTCTGCAGCGCACCATTGACGAGCAGCGCATCTACGACATGCTGTTATCACATTTCACCAAGAACAACAACTACGAGGGCGCCATAGACCTCTACGAGCGCCTGCAGGAAGACGACGAACTAAAGGTCTCACAGGAGTTTATTCGTAATCTGGTCAAGCTGTTGCAGCTGAATAATATAGAGATTCCCAGCAGCATTGCTATGCGGGCTCAGATTAGATAGGATCATATTTCTATATATATATATACTTAAAATCTTAGTGCTGTTATTGTTGATTTTTTTTTTTATTTTATAATAACGTAAGTAAATTTATACTTTAAATATTAGCAAAAATACATACGGTATGTTTGTGCAGAGCTGTGAAAACTGAGCCTTCAAAATATACAAATAATTTTGACCTGAGCGCGCACGATAGTCGATAATCGTTAATCGATATTGGCAGCCATGCAGCACTTAAAGGCTGGATAAGTCCCGTTTCTCTTATTATAGGCTTATGTATGTATATGTTTGAATGCATATTTCACTGAATTTGCGGAGCTTTCCAGGCTGAAGTATTTCATCCAGTTATGTTCACTCGATGAAATCAACTTGATATGTCTTATTTTTTATCAAAAAATGATAACTATTCGGAGTTTAAGTGGGTTCAACAAACGCTTAGAGGCCGCGGAAAATAAACTAATTGTTCTGGAGTTTTTTGCCACATGGTCCACCCCGTGCAAAGACATTAATGAGGCAGTAAAAGCACTCGCCCGCCAAAATGCCAGCAAGGCTGAAGTCATTCAAATTAATGTTGACAAATTTGAGGACTTGGTGGACACGTACAAGGTGCGCAGCAAGCCAACATTTGTGTTCATCAAGAACAAGCGCAATATATACCGCGTATTAGGAGCCGACGAGGAGAAACTGAAGCATACCTTATCCGAGCTCTGCAAATAAACGGGACTTCCATGACGCAGGCGTCATTATCACATACACAAGCATAATCTATGCATTCCCAACTATATTTAATATCTACGTATATTGTAACTGTGCAAAATGTATCGTAGCTCCATTGGACTATTTTTATATGCTATTTAACAACTTGGTATAATTTTAATATGGACATGTAGTAGTTTTTAATAGTTGTGACTCTATTAAATTTAATACAATATCAATGGTGTTCATTATTTATTATGAAAGAGGATCTTTGGTTTCATACACCTAATTCATTAAATTGCTAAAATTGCAATTCTAAAGCCGGATAAGATCAACACTTCAATTTCAATTCGAATGCCAACGACATCATCGATAGCACGACAATATAATTATTATCGACTGCAACTATCGATGTTTTAGTGCAACACTAGTTTAGAGTTTGCCCGCGCGCATATTCTATCGTTATACGAATAATTTCTTTATTAAGGCGACTTTGTAACGTACGCATTTAATTCAAAATATGCGGCGTCCATCTTTCATAACGTGGTCTGCGGTATGCGATGCATATAATAGCAGAACAAATAGCCACACGACGGTGTCACAAGATATGCCAAAGAGCAACAAGCAGCATTATGAGCACTGCGAACGCGTATTGGTGCTTCTGCAACCAAATCCAAAAATCCAGTGGAGTACAGTTAAAAATAAATGCCGAACAGCTTTATTTTTCACTGGGCGGCTGTGCACCGGAGCTGTTGCCAGTGCTCAGCAGCAGACAGCGCCAAGAGCTGTTTTGATGCAATTGGTCCAATAGGCTAACTGCGAACGCCTGCAGACTGTCGACGAACAGAAGGTTTCACAGGGCTCCAACGTACTCTGGTTAAACTTAGCTATGCGTGATCACATGAGATAAAATCGTATTTCCGTTATTTTTAAATATTTCTATTTTGTATCAACGTAACTAAATTTATACTTAAATGTTAACAAACACTTCAGATAATGAATTTAGTTTTTAAGTATAACTCATATTCTAACCGCCGCAATCCGAGAATTGACCAGCCCTCTTCTGCCGACACCTGAGATCATATACAAATGCGCCATGAGCCATGGTGTGATCAAAATTGCTTCATAGTCCATGATATTCCAGGTTTCATAATCCCGAACCATGTGATATTCAATTACAACCCTATCAATCCATCCACTTGCTGTAAGGCAAGTAGGTACACGAACTAACCGTTCGACAAGTTTTGTCTGTTGCAAGAAGCCTGGGCCAAGCAACTGCACAATCGGGATGACATATAGCAAATCTACTCAGTTAATTGGAGTATCGGTACCTAGTCACAAGGCATCATTTCGCAATGCCTACTACACATCTTTCATTAAAGCGTATTTTCTCGAAGCATACTCATTGCCATTTTCTCTTGAATCGACAAGGCTTTGCATCTATTTGAAATCTCAGTTCCTATGTCAGAACACACAGCAATTTTGAAATACGTAGATGTATACGTAACACACACTGTTTATACCAAACGTGCTAATTTAGAAACCATTTAGGGAAGCACACAGTAGAGATTAACTTTCAGTGGAATTGGATATCCGCTGAGTCATCGAACAAGTACCAACAATATGGACTGCCAGGACAAAGACCCTGCAGAGGAGCCTACCACAGCTGGGGAGAAGACCTCAACCAATAACGCATCACTGACGACCGAATCAGAATCGATCGATGAACTCTTTGAATTCATTCGGGAAGCTCCCATAGGTGATAGAAACGAGCCGACAGCCAGTGTCAGTGAACAAACCATAACAATGAGCGAAAGCGAGGAGCCAACGGCAAGCTCCTCATTCACCCTTCCCTCAGTCGATGTCCCAAGCAACGAGGTCAACAACAGCTTGGTGGCTGTAGTCCAGCGCAGCGAGTTCGCTAAACTCTTGATGCGCCTGGGCGAAGAGGGTGACGGCGATGCGAACCAGATTGTGATAGAGCTCCTCAACTCTAAGAAACAAGCGGCGAAGGCCACATCGGTAATCGAGCGCGTATCAGAGAACCTTATGCTCGTCCTACGCACCCAAACCCTAGCCGAAGCCGGCATTATAACGGGAAACGAGCGCTATCGTTCTTTCAAGTCTGTCCTTCAGAATTATGCCAAGCTTTACGCGGCTAAACGATTCATCGAGAAACTTCCAATGCTGGGACTTTCTCCACAGTCGAGCCAGGACCACGGCCAGGATCAGAATGAGAACGAGAAGACACTGGCCCGCATGGTGGCCGATGAGGTACTCCAGATACCCGAACTGCTGCGCCAGCTATGGGCCTCCCTTGAGAAAATGGAGTTCTTCAACGAAGACACTGCCTACAAAGTTTACTTGGAAGCTCGGCGCCATCCACAGGCGAAAATTCTCCGTGAACTGATGTTAACCCGCATATCGCGTGTATACCTCTGCATTGTCAGCTCTGCATCCTTTCTCGACTTTAGTGAGCACGAACTAATTCACGTGCTCAACAACTGCTACCTCAGTGTCAACTCCGAGATAGAAGTGAGTAAACTTATACTCCCAAATATAAGCTGCCTTCATTGAGATCTCTCCTCAGATATTTCTCTCGGTCATACTCTGGCTGGAACACAATTGGTACGAGCGTAAGAACTGCGCTGAGCGGGTCTTGAGTGGGGTCCGGTTCGGCTTGATGCCCACCTGGTACCTTTATACTCTGGATAGAACAAATCGTTGCAATCACTTTGCCAAAGTCATATACAGTAAGGGTGTGCAAACTCTTTTGGAAAAGGGTCTCGAGTAAGTCATCGGTTGAGCCCAAGCAATTTATTATGCCTATTGAATGTAATGTTTCCATTTCAGGGAGGCCTTGGCGATGCGTTACAAAAGTGCTAGGGCTGCCAGCTCCAGGAATGTAGAGGTTCCTTTGCCTCGGGACTGGGTCGCTGACCCGGAGTGTCGCCATCATCATAAGTGTCATTGCGAGCGATTTATTTATCCAACATATGACGTATTCAAGGACTACCTGGCCAGGATAATACGATCTGCACCAAATTATTGGCGTACCCTCCGACCTGCCCAGGAAGTCTACCGGAAGGTACTCAAGTGCTGCGCACCCCCCTACCAGACACAGCGACGAACCTAACCATATCGTTGACATCAGTTGTCTTATTTCTCTACACCAAACAAAATAGCTCCCAAATTTATTGTTTTACCTATTCTGGCGTGCTTAACTGCAAATCATTTTAAAGTGTTGAATAAATGTTGGAATAAGTTGGGAATCGTTGCATTGTGCCAACTCCACTTCAAAAGTGGTTAGGACAGCAAATACACACCATGGATATTGCAATAAAATTTAAGTGAAACCAGCTTTTGACAGCTGTCTATTGTATTGAATTTACAAATCGATTGTGTTGTTTTTCCTAAACAGATTATTTACGAATAGCCTTGGCATCTGTCTATATTTATGGACCGCTCCCTTTTTGAAGAAGTGTAGATAGAGTTCAATTTGAAATTTGAAACATTTATTAAACACTCTAAAATGATTTGCAGTTAAGCATGCCAAAGAAAATAAAACAATAAATTTTGGAGTGATTACAATTAGTGTAGAGAGATGAGACAACTGATGTCAACGGTATGCCTAAATTCGTTGATGTGTCTGGCAGGGAGGCGCACAACATTTGAGTATCATCCGGTAAACCTCCTGTGCAGGTCGAAGTGTGCGCCAGTAATTTGGGGCACATCGTATGATTCTAGCGAGGTAGTCCTTGAATACGTCATATGTTGGATAAATAAATCGCTCGCAATGACACTTATGATGATGGCGACACTCCGGGTCAGCGACCCAGTCCCGAGGCAAAGGAACCTCCACATTTCTGGAGCTGGCAGCCCTAGCACTTTTATAACGCATCGCCAAGGCCTCCCTGAAATGGAAAGAATATATTCATTAGGCATGACAACAAATCGCTTGGGCTCAACCGACGACTTACTCGAGACCCTTTTCCAAAAGAGTTTGCACGCCCTTACTGTATATGACTTTGGCAAAGTGATTGCAACGATTTGTTCTATCCAGAGTATAAAGGTACCAGGTGGGCATCAAGCCGAACCGGACCCCACTCAAGACCCGCTCAGCGCAGTTCTTACGCTCGTACCAATTGTGTTCCAGCCAGAGTATGACCGAGAGAAATATCTGAGGAGAGATCTCAATGAAGGCAGCTTACATTTGGGAGTATAAGTTTACTCACTTCTATCTCGGAGTTGACACTGAGGTAGCAGTTGTTGAGCACGTGAATTAGTTCGTGCTCACTAAAGTCGAGAAAGGATGCAGAGCTGACAATGCAGAGGTATACACGCGATATGCGGGTTAACATCAGTTCACGGAGAATTTTCGCCTGTGGATGGCGCCGAGCTTCCAAGTAAACTTTGTAGGCAGTGTCTTCGTTGAAGAACTCCATTTTCTCAAGGGAGGCCCATAGCTGGCGCAGCAGTTCGGGTATCTGGAGTACCTCATCGGCCACCATGCGGGCCAGTGTCTTCTCGTTCTCATTCTGATCCTGGCCGTGGTCCTGGCTCGACTGTGGAGAAAGTCCCAGCATTGGAAGTTTCTCGATGAATCGTTTAGCCGCGTAAAGCTTGGCATAATTCTGAAGGACAGACTTGAAAGAACGATAGCGCTCGTTTCCCGTTATAATGCCGGCTTCGGCTAGGGTTTGGGTGCGTAGGACGAGCATAAGGTTCTCTGATACGCGCTCGATTACCGATGTGGCCTTCGCCGCTTGTTTCTTTGAGTTGAGGAGCTCTATCACAATCTGGTTCGCATCGCCGTCACCCTCTTCGCCCAGGCGCATCAAGAGTTTAGCGAACTCGCTGCGCTGGACTACAGCCACCAAGCTGTTGTTGACCTCGTTGCTTGGGACATCGACTGAGGGAAGGGTGAATGAGGAGCTTGCCGTTGGCTCCTCGCTTTCGCTCATTGTTATGGTTTGTTCACTGACACTGGCTGTCGGCTCGTTTCTATCACCTATGGGAGCTTCCCGAATGAATTCGAATAGTTCTTCGTCACTGCTGAGGTCATCGATCGATGGCGTTGCCGTTGGCATGGGTGAGTTTATTAAGGTCTTTTCATCGTCAGTTGTGGGGACCTTATCAGGGTTTTTGCCCTGACATTCCATGTTGTTGCGGTTTCAAATGTTGGCTCGAAGGATGTCCAGTATTGATCGCGACGGCGATCACTTATCGTGGACAAGTGTGGAAGGTGTATAAATGGGTGCTACTTACTTATTCGTTTGTACATGAATAGTTTGTGTTTGATAATGGTTTTAACTGACATTTGTTACAGCTGTTCGCATAGGCTACTGAGGCACTACAATTGTTTATTTGTGATGTAGGAAAAAAGCTTAACGGGCCACTTCATAAGCAGCTGCGGCAAGCAAACAGGATTAGACAGATAGTGTATAAGCAGCTAGTTTTTCTCTTCTATACGCCGGCTGATGATCCACTGCTTAGGCTACTCTCGCTCATGTGAAACTGGATCAGAATAATGAGGTATGTAGTTGTGGCACCGACAATCTGAAATGGATCCATGAGTAATTAGGCGCAAGCGCGAGCCACGCCCACTCACCGTATAGAGCAACGTGCAGTTGACATCGAAGAAGCCTGCGGCACTGAAGTGAAGTCGCTGGTGCAACAGCTGCAGGGAGAACTGCGTGATCTGTGAAGCAGAGTTAGCTAAGGGACTGACTAAATGCTCTTTCGAATGGGATCGACTCACTAGTGCATTGTGTTCATCATTTTGAAGATCCGCCCGAATGTGATGCAGACTCAAGGCCAAGCGCGTTGTCTACGAGATGAAAAAAGAGTTCACGTACTCTTGGAAGTAAATCTACTCACAAAAGATGCAACTCGTTCGCATAGGAGTGCTAGGATGAGAACGTTGCTCAAGTGCGGTGCTGTCCAGAGGGCGCTGCCCACGATTTGCATGAAATCATAGGGTGAGGCTGCGAACTCTCGAAAGTTCAGGAATATCCAATAGCAGTTAGAGGTGATGGACAGAAAGTCGTTGCCCAAATTGACCAGCATCGACAGGCCATAGCAGCGATTCAGCAGATCGACCAACATCCACAAGCTTTGATATAGCTTTCTGGCAGCCAACAGACGTTGCATGCAAGCGGCCGCCTCTGCCTCCAGTTGCAGCTTCTCATTGATGGAGCGGCAGACTTGTGGCTTCTCCGGCAACGCCTCGTTTAGCTGCAGCGAGTCGAGCATGCGCAGTAGCAACTCCAGGCGCTGCTGCACAACCATAATGGACGCGTAGATCTGAAAGTAGCGCAGGCCGCAGACCAGCAGGGGCAGCAGGTAGCTCAGCCAATAGTAAATAAACGTGATATCCACCGAGAGCAATTTCGTAAACAATATGAAGCCCTGGCTAATGGCATAGCCGGAGAGCATGCACAGCGCTAGGCGGCCCAAGTGACGGCGCAGCTGTCCATTGTTCACGTCCAGCTGCAGCAAATTGGCAAAATCCAGATCGATCTGGCGCAGCTGCACCACAAATTGACTCTGCGCCTGCCGCTGCCAAAGCTCCTCCAGCAGCGCTATTGCATGCGCCACTCGTATGCCAACCAGTTGTATAGCATCCACCGTATGGCCAATATTGGTGGTCTCCGTCGTCTCGCCATTGGCAACGACATTGCGACTCGCATCGAACAAGCTGTACAGCAAGTACCCAGTGGACAGGAGCAGCACAACGAAGCCGTAGAGCTCCAGCCAGCGCGAACGCTTCAGCTGATGTGTGGCACTGTCCAAGCGCCAATGCCATAGGCAGCACAATTGGCCAGCTCGTTGCAGTGGCGTCAGTGCATCGTAAATGTCCATGGCGATCGATTGAGCTGCTTTGCACCGAGAGCGCCTCATATATATGTGAAAGATAACGAATGCGTTTTTATCTAATCGGACTCAATTGCAATTTGATGCTTATTAACTATTTATTATAGACAATTGCGAAATCTGCGCAGCACTTACTGGGCTGGTTGAGGAACTGATTCCATGGCCATCTAGCCAGCTGACTCTCTGTGTGTGCTAAGGCTCACTTGGACACTGGACTACTGCTGCACTATAGAAAAGGCAGCAACCGGCCGCCTAGCTGTTCGCGCCCTCATCAATCATTATCAATATAAATTAACGCATTTCAATGTCAACAAGCTAAAATGTCACTGCATGCATCATATTTGGCAGATAACAAGGTGAGCCACATACACCTTGCTGCCGGCCAGGCTTAATTAAATATTTATGTTGACTTTCGTCAGAGCGAAGTAGGTAACTCTCTGGGCAGGTGCAAATTACCTTTTACTGGAAGGCAAATGGGTCTTAAGAGTTTATTTGGGCTTAGGCATAGGCTATTTATATTATATATATATATGTATATATATGTGTGTGTGTGTATAACATATATGTGTTTCATATTAAGAGTCTCGTATTGAGCTTCAGTTAGGCCCCATCTTGGAAAACGTTTTTCTACCACTCCAAGAGATTGACTTGAAATAAAACACATTCAAATTTCACATAAATACCTTTATTATAATTTTTAGATTTTAATTTTTTCTTTGGAAATAGTTCTTGAGATAAGCTTGATTTGACTTTTTCATAAAATGTAATACATATATGCATTTAATTATTTATTTATTTCATTTTTTTTTTGTTTTCTTTTTCGATTTCAATTACTGCTGTTCTTTAGTGTGGGTGTTCACTGTGTGTGTGTGTTAGTTAATTTTCTTTGTGCTTGCTTTCGCTTCGCTATTTCTCTCATTCTACACATAAGCACCTCCTCTTCCTCTTCTTTGTGCACGCACTCTGATCACCTGTCCATGTATGTGTCTGTGTGTGTGTGTGTGTTTGTGTGTGTATCGTTTCTATATCGAATAGAACCCACTTTAGCGATATATAGAATAATTTATTTTGCATTTTTCTTGTTTTTTTTTTACCGGATTTCGCATTTTCATATATATATATATTTATTTTTTTTTTCAACAATTTTTTGCATGTTTTTTTTTTTGCTTTTACTAATGATTATATAGTAGTCAAATATAATAGATACACACGCACACACATGTACACATGTGCACACATCTATGTATGTGTGTGTGTATGCATGTAAATTGAAGTATATTTGATTTAAATAGAAGCTGCTAATAGGTTAAAGCAAATTCATATAGCAAATTTAACAAACAAATTCGTCTTTATCTTTGTTTATGGGGTACACTCATAATCTTGTATATATATGTATATATATATTTAGTTAATACGTTAATACGCTTTGTTCTTTGGATAAGGCAATGGATACATAATATATATACTTGACTGATTGCTCAGCAGGCAAAAAAAACAAAACAGAACAACAAACATTTAAGAAACATTTGCGATATAATTCAACACAGATCAATTTAACTTTTCTTTTTTTTTTGTTTGCTTTCACTTGGCTGGGAAACTGTCAAAGGTTTTCCTCAACTCAATTTGTGTGTGTGTGTGGGGTTTTTGAAAATTATTCACTTTGAGCTTATAAGCAAACATTCATACATTCAAGTATATAGTGTATATAGGTTGTTTATGCATTTTTCAAATATATATATATATATATATATATATATATATATATATTTATATATATATATATATAGTGTATGTGTGTGTGTATATATTATATGTCTATAAGTTATTTTCTTGTATTTGTTTTCATTTACTTTTATTTAGTTTTAGCGCAAAAAGATATTTTTCGAAAATAATATGAAAAATTTTGCTTCGTTATCCTTTGAGTCGACATACATGGGGTTATAGACTAATATGTCATAACTCGTTGAGAACCAAGTATAAAATAATAGATATTCATAATCATTTTTCCTTCATTTGGGATCTAGCGACTCATATTTCGGATTTCATCTCTCAAATTTAGAGAAAATCAATTCATTGTCTTCAAATTTTGTTATTTAATATTTTAATTGTTATTAGATTTGCTTAATTTTATAGTTTATAAAAAAAATTGATTATTTCTTCAATCGAATAGCGTAAGCTTCTTCTTTGGTTTTTTGTTTAACTTAAATGTCTTTTTTTATTATAATTTATAATTGTTTACAAAATAAGTTTTCATGGTGCTTGTACCATTGACTTTGTTTATAACTGTTCAATGCCTCGTCAATTACTCGTTTTATATATTTTTAGTTTTTAAAATTTTGTTTATAATTTGTAAATCCCTGTCTAAAGCTGTTTGCTAGTAGTCATAAAATAATTTCCATTTATTTATTTCCTTTTTATTCATTTACTTTTATCACTTTATATCATATACATACATACATAAATATGTTGACTATTTTTATGTTGCAGCTGCCTAAGTGAACCGAAAATTGAATCAAAAAATTTGAAATGCAAAAATTTAAAAAATATAAAATAGAAATAATGAAAAAATAAATTTAAAAAAACTATCACATGCGTGTTTTTGGATCTTTTGAAAAATATTATTCACTAATTGCTTAAGTGGCTTGTATATGTAAGTGTATTTTAGACTTTAAACTTTTTTAATTTTAAATTTATTTTTGTTTTCTTTTGTTTTGTTTTTGTTTTTTGCTTCTTCTTGCTTATCAAAGTTTTGTAGACTGGACGGTAGCCAGTTGTTTGTCGACTGTTGCGCCTGGTTGTTGTTGTTCTTGTTGTTGTATATAAAAAGCAATTAAATTTAAATTTATATATATATATATATATATATATATATATATATATATATGTATATATTTATATATTTTAATATGCATATTTTGTAGTTGTTTAAAAACGCAAAGAATAATTATATATATATATATATATATATATATATATATTTATATATATATATATATATATATATTTTTTTTTTTTTTTTTTGGAGAATTGATTACGTTATGGTTGCGCTCTTTAAAAATCGGCTTTATATATGTATGTATATTTTAAAAAGTCTGTATGACAAATATCAATTTGTAATTCAATCAAAAACTTTTATTCAATTTTTTATTTTTATTCTTTTGGACTATTTGACCTCATCAATTTATTGTAGTTGCCTCGAAAATCGCATTGAATTTGCTTTTAATATTGCGTGTGCCTTTCTTTTTCTTCTTTTCCTATTTTTTGCTATTAATTTGTGTGTATTTTAAATGTTTTGGTTTATGTTTAATGGTTTTTTTTAGGTTTTTAATAGTGTTCGTTTTTTTTTTTTTGGTTTTTTTATATATTTAATATTTGTTGAAATTTGTTATTCTATGACTATGAAAAAGTAAAAAAAATATAGAAAAATAACCTTCATTCATTTTGCGTTCATCATTTAGTTTTGTTTCACAATATCTGGTTTAATGACACCCGACCCCAAATCCCATGCTAATCAGACCCAATCAGACCCTCCCTCGTAAACCTTATATAGTAATATATATCAGCATTAACATCATCGCATCTTCAACCATATCACCAACAGTATTCGTCCTTTTCACACACAGCGACATCCGACATCAGTATAGAGTATATATAGATATATATATATATCGAGCTCATATGACTTCCAATTTTAACCACAGACGAGACCCAGACCCCGGACCCAGATCTAGCCCAACAATGCGACGCTTCCACCTCTTTCGATATCTGCCAGACTTTTGGTATGATTATATCCTGTTCTATATAAGTGTACGTATATCAATTTGCGTGTTTTGTGATCTATAGTTAATTCATGTTTGCAATATATATGAATATATATATATATATAATTCTTCGCCCATTTGTATTTTGTATGTTAAGGTAAGTCTTTCTGCTGCCTGCCAGAACAAAAGCTCAACTCAAAGTGTAAAAATAGAAATATTTAAATAAAATTATACAATCAAGTGTCATATTTAGATGACATTTCGAGTATTCCGTATTTATCTATATGTTATGTATTTTATGATATTTCATATGTTAAGACCTTTGTATTGTTCGTTCATTTCGGGAGGCACATTCATTTAAGGTTTTGTATTATTTGTAATGCTTGGTTCAATAGTTATTTTCGTAGCTATTCGATTAGATTTTTGATTAAGTTACACGTTTTATATACGTTTTCGTATTAAATTCATTTCGTTTCGGTTAGCTAAATATGTTGATTAGAACCTTTTTATCAATGCTTCAACATTTTGCTGTGCATTATTTCATATTATTTTCTGTTTAATTTTATTTACTTTTTAAACAAGAAAAACAAAAGTTTTTATTGATCATGTGTGTGTGTGTGTGTATGTGTGTGTTGTAGTTTTAGAGCTATATAAATACTAGTAGTAGTAGAATATGATTTCGCTTTTGCCTTCTTGCGGCACACACATACATATATATATATATATATATATATATGTGTGTATGTATTCATGTATACATATTTTTATTTAAAATTCAAATATATGAAATTCTCAATAGTTTTTCTTTTTTCATAAAAGTTTTACTAATACAAGAAACATGAATAATATTTGTTATATACTTAGCATTTTGTAACCTCTTTTTAAAGATTTTTTATGCTTTTTTTGTATATTTTTTTTTTGTTTTGTATATTTTTGCTAAGCGGTTTTGAAAACATTTTGATCTTTGGATTACTATGCAAGGTAGCTTGACGTTTAATGAAAGCAACAAATACATAAACACTCTATATATCTGTTTAGGATTTTACGATATTCATCTTTATAATTTGTTTCTGGCACGTAGCGCTTGAATTTTTTGAATTTTTAGTTTTTATATTTTTCTTTTTCTTTTTTGTTTTTGTTGTTTTTTTTTTTCATTTTGCATTTTTGGTAATTAATTTGCTTGAAAATTAATATTTATTAATTACCTTTTTTTGTTGCACATGGAAAACGAAGGCGACAAAAAGCGCGAATAGACGGCATTGGCTAAACAAAATGGCGTCATCCAAGTGACCCGTTACTCCGCCATATTCAGCTTTTTGTTCCGAAACTGTGTTTTTCCCCCTTTTCATATTTCTTTTTTGGCGCACGGCATTTTGCATATTGCATTTTGTTGTTGTTGTTGTCAAGCTTATGTTTCTTTGTTGTCATTTTCGTTGTTTTTTTTTTGTTTTGTTTTTTAGTCGTCATCGTTAAGCTCAAAAATTGGAAGTCGTCATTTTGATGTCTGTTGTGTGTGTGTGTGAGTGAGAGTGTGAGTTTTTTTGCTTTTGTTATTTGCTGTTGATAGCCCCAATCAGGTTTACGAGAGAGAGCAAATCGCTGTCTGTGTGTGGAAGTGATTTGAAAAAATGTTGGTTTCTTTATTTAACTCTTAGTCGTCGTCGTCAAATGCAATAAACAAGCCCGTGGCCTAGAACTCTAAGCGATATGCGGAGCACGAGGTCTCATGATCCTGCAAGTTAATTGTGCAGCGCGAAGCGGATGGCGACAGATCAATGCGGTGCTTGGCAAGCAGCTCCTCATTTTCGGCCACCCAGTAGCCCAGCACGTCAGTGTCATACGTGGGTATAATGGTGACCTCTGCAAGGTGTGTGGCAATCGTTAATTGAGCCTTTATTCGTTAGCTGAATGAATGATGGAGGTACTTACCTAGCTCTTTGTCTTCCCAGGTTTGTTTGGCCTCCAACAGGGCATCGTAGACCTGACGGCTAGGCTCTGTGCCGGAGAAGACATAGTAGCGAGCGCGGACGCGCTTAAAGAAGTCGACGTGCGCATAGTAGGAGTTACCGTTGTGCGGCACATAGGTAAGATCCACATAGACTGGTGCGGGCTTCTTGGCCTTGTTGGGTGACTCGCTACGCTTGCGCATGTTCTTCTCGTTGTTCAGTCGCGTCTTGGTTGCGACCAAGCGACGCTCCTTCTTGGGCGTGGTGCGTATATCGGCACCTTCGACCGGCAATGGTGCCGGCGATGGCAGGCCGAGTGGTTTGCCCCACTCCTCAAGACGATCCTTTGGCAGGGTGCCGGTAGTGCTGCTTGTGCTAGCTGTTGTTGTTGCTGTTGCTGCAGTTGTTGCTGTTGCTGCAGTTGTTGCTGTTGATAGTGTTGTGGTTGTATGGCTGCTTTCAGCGCCAGTTGTGGTTGCAGTGCTCACTGATTGAAGATTGCCACCAGCTGGACTGAGGGTACCAAAACTGGCCAATAGATTGTCGCCGCTGCGTACCTTCTGGACATCGCTAAGGGGGAAACGTTGTCTCTCGGCAGTGCTGCTCACAATCTGCTCAACCTCCTCGGCCTTGGATGGCGAGTAGGAATACTTGGCGGTCACGGAAGACATCACCTCGGCGCCACGCGCCTGCACATGCTCCTCGAGTGCCTTCTGGAAGTCCTTGTCGGCCTCATCCAGGAATTTATGTCCGGCCCAGGTTTGGCTGGTGCTCTCCACGCTCTCCGACGACTGACTGGCTGGCGGTGAGTCTGTGTAGGTCATCAGCACGGCACCGCGTATTGGTATTGGCTCGGTGCTGGGCTTGCCGTCAAAGCTATCGGGAAGTGCACCATAGAACGAGGTTGCCATGGGATCGGCTGTGCGGGGCGGCAGAATGGCACGCGCTGTGGAATGCTCCTCGCTGCCATATTGAGGCGGTATATCATCTTGACTGTCCTCGCCATCTAGATCCGACCGCTTGCTAACTCCAGAGCTGGAGCGCTGCAGATCGTAGCTCGTGCTGCGTGGCGTGCCTGGCAGCTCATCATCGCTCATGGCGCCAGCCAGACGCTCATCATCGCTGCCGGGTGTGCTAGAACGGTAAATTCCACGCAGCATGGCCACCTCCTTGGGTAGCATTTGGTCGCGCTCACGTTCGCTTTTTTCGCTCTCACTGGTGGTGCGCGTTGTGGTTACTACAACCTTTTCGCTATCTGGCTCAGAGCTATCGGTTGTGGTAACTGTCTTTTGCTCGGTCACAATCTCCTTGCCATCGGCGGAGATTACCTTGGTAACTGTGGTTATAGTTGTCGTTATGATCTTTTCGGTGCTGCCGCTGAGCGCAGTGGTGCTCTCAATGCCACGCAACTCGTGCAGTTCGGGCAGCAACTCGCTGGAGTCGACGCCAATCTCGGCTAGGTCGGGTTCCTCGACTACGCCTAGGGACCTGAGCTCGTCCTTGCTGACACGCGGGAATGGAGATGTTGGTTTGGGCGATGACTCTGGTGTCTCGGTGTGTGATTCACGCCCTAGCGGTGTTGGTATGGATTGACTTTCAGATGTTAAAGCACCAGGACTAGACTTACCACTAATATCTTTGGGCGACAATGGGCCCGATGTCGATGCTACGCTGGCAGCGCTAGACTCACTCTTGGCACAGCCAGAGCCGGTGGCCGCGGTGCTCGAGGTGCTCGAGGCGCTCACTGGCTTAACACTGGGGCTGACCGGTGCCGTTGGCGGTGTCTTGCGATCTGTGCTGTCCGTTGCTTGCTCAGCTTGTGTTTGTGTATGTGATAGTGTTATCGACTCAACTTTGGTTTTCGAGTCGGTTGATTTAGTTGTGGTAGTGGTGCTGCTGCTCTGTTCAGAGGATTGCAGCAATGTGGTTGTCTTAGTGGTTGTGTCTGTGGAGGAAGTGGTTTTTGTCTCCCTGGATGTTTCATGCTCGTCCTCCTCTTTGGACTCCTCTTCTTTGATCGCGGCAATCGAGTCAAGCTCCTCGGAGGGCTTATAGATGCTGGTCATCATGATGGTAGCAATGGACTTGGAGCGACCCTCCTTTAGACCGGCATGTCTATCATCGTCGCTATCATCCTCAACGTCACTGTGGGTTTGTCGACCCTCGCTTGTCTGGCTAAGCATCGATTCACGGCGTGATTCGTCCGTGCCGACAAACAAGGGCTTCTGAGAGGTGATTTCACTGGATATCATCTTCACACAGTCATCAGCTGTTTTGGTAGCCTCAGCGCTGAAGGTTTCTTTGGCCGAAACAATTTTCTCTGTTGCCAAAAACTCAGCTACCGTTTCCTTGAGACTGTCCTTTACCGATTCCTGAACAGTTGTGCTTGTGAATTCCTTACTTGAGATTTGACTGCTTGGCTTTTGGGAGCTCGTAGTTTGAATCTCGCTAACTATCGACTCAGATGAGCACTCTTCGGATTGTATGAGTAGCTCTTCCAATTGTGATGTTGTTGTTTTCTCCATTATCTTTGTAATATGCTCTGTATCTTCCTTAATGCTAGAGCTAGACAATTTTGTGGTTTCCTTGTCGGTCAGCAAGCTGGACAATGACTCGCGCAGTGAACTGTCTTCAACCTTCATGCTGCTACTTAAAGATTCGCTAATGGATTCTTCTTTTAGGTGAGATTCACTTATGACAGACTTTGAAGTGGTTGTTGATTCACTTGATTTTTCCTCCTTTTTGGTCTCCAGTGTCGATATCAGTACTGAATCACGTTGAGACACTGAACTCTGGTCATCCTTGGCACTGATATGGCTGGCACTTGATGCTGGGCGTGAAGTCTCAGGTTCCTTCTCTACAGCTTCCGGGTGGGATGACTGCCCGCTGACGTGGCTGGCTGCGGATTCTGGACGAGTTGCATCCTTACTTGCGGTGACTGATCCTTCTCGTTTTTCGCTTTCAGCAACAGACAATATGGACTCACGTCTCGAGTGTAACTCTGCACTGCCACCTTCCTTCTCACTAACGTGGCTGGCAATTGACTCGTGCCTGGAAATATCCTTTGATAGTGGCGGCGACTTTTCATGCTTTTGATCCAGTTCCTCTTTCAGACTTGCCACTGATTCGGGTCGCGATGATTCTCTAGACAGAACTATCAATTCTTCCAGCTTTTCCTCCTTTTGGCTTGCTACCGACTCCGTGCGGGATGGTAAGGACTCGATGGCTCCCAGCTGACTTGTTGCAGACTCCGGCCTGGAACTATCCTTGGCAACCTCAATGTCAGCCAACTTGGCAGCTCCTTCTCGGAGTTGCGCCTTTTCAGACTGCTCAATTTTGTCCTTCTCTTCAATTGATATCGGCCCAGACTTTTGGTCTGGTGATGATTTTTCAGATTCAATATCCACCTTCATCATTTTAATATCCAATATCTTTTCATCCAATGAAAGATCCTTTGTTGCAGTTAATTTACTTGAAAGTGCTTCAGGTGTGATTGATTTTAAATTATCTGCGTCGCCAGCTTCAGGTTCTGCAGTGGTTTTTAGCTTTTCTTCCAATTGCTTCTCGTTGAACCCAGGTATAATATCAGTAATAGCCTTATCGGACTTCAAGACCTTGGCCACATCGGCCACAATCTTGGCGACTTCTTCTTCACGTGGCGAGAGTGGACGCATTGGTTGCTCTGCTATAATGGCTCCCTTTTCGGTTGGTGGCGAGAATCTGTGCTCCTCATCCTCTTCCTTGATATCGTGCAAAATACTCTCATCGCGTTCACATATCGTTACTGTGAATTCTGGTGAATCAACTGTGGTAATATGTGTCTCGCGAAGTTCGGAAAAGCCACTCAAGTCTAAGTTACCCTTGGCAGTTGCATCTTCTGTCATATCTGCAATAGTTTCCATAACCGAGCTAGCCGCTTGCTTCTCTTCTGCTTTGGAAACCTCAGGAGTTTTTAAATCCTGTACAGAATGGAGGTCTGCTGGTTTCGAACTTTCCTTAGTTATTCCATCCAATGACTCTGATACTAGCTCCTTAGCGGTTTCTAGGGTCTGACTCACTGTATCTATTACTGTTTCTGCCTTTTTACTCAACGTATCAGCTAGCGATTCCAGGTTACCTTTGCAGATCGAGCTGATTGTATCTGATTCGGGTTGGCTTGTCTGTGGAATGATATGTTCTTCAATGGTCGTAATCGATTCTAAAATATTATCTGCTACATCGACTGGGCTGGAAGCTGTTAGTATCGCTCCAACTCTGGCATCTTCGGCAGGCTTGTCGATTTCAATTGCCCCTGGTATCGTGTGAGAAAACTCGCCTTCAGCAACATCAACTGGAGTGGACACAGTTGGGTAGTTTGCTGTCATTTCAGAGGAGGACAATACTAATATCAGAGGTTCTCTTGAAGCCTCATCTATTGGTGATGATGCTGTTTCAGCGACTGAACTTGGACGGGAAGATTCCTTTGACTTCGCACTTTCAGCCATTGATGCTGGACGCGATGGTTCCTTTGAGGTAATTGGAGAAGTTTTATGTTCTAAGTTATCGCTATGCTTCTGATCATCTTCTGATTTTTCCGATTCCTCTTTAACTTTATCTACCACAGATGTGGGACGCGATACTTCTTTAGAGGCCGGTAGAGACTTATCATCAACTTTTATGCTTTCTGCAATAGATCCACTTCTGGAAGATGTTGCAGACTTCTTGTCCTTATCACTTTCTAGTTTTTCCATTTTATCATGAACGATTTCGACACCAGATTCCATAATACTGTCCGCCTTTGGACTTCCTACTGTAGATTCATGTGCGGATTCAGGTTGTGATATTTCCTTGGAGCTCGATGCAGACTTATTATCTTTGGGTGATTCTTCCGGGGCTTTTTCATCAAGCGGCTTTGCTGGTGACACTGTGAAATCACCCTCAGCAACATCAATGGGACTTGAGAGTGTTGGAAAATCGCTCTTTGATTCCAAAGCTAAGACAAATGTTTCTTTTTTTATATGTTCCGATAGTACAAAATCTTTTGCTTCATCAATGGGCGAAGATGCAGTTTCGCCAACAGATACAGGCGGGGAAGTCTTTTGACAATCTGACTTCGTTGACTTAGGTGATAGGGAAGCTGTCGCTGCGAAGTCACCCTCAGCAACATCAATGGGGCTCGAAAGTGTTGGATAGTCACCCTTCGTATCCAAATTTAAAACGAAAGTATCTTTAATTACGTGATCCACCAGTGCAAAGTCTTGCGCTTTATCAATTGGGGAAGAAACCGTTTCTGCAATAGAGTCTCGTCTCGCGAATTCCTTAGTTAACTTCGCGTCTAATTGGCTTTCTGGCATTTCATGTTCATCTTGTACACCTTCAGAATGTGATTCTTTTTTGGAGCCCGACAAATCCTTAGAAACTTCCAAGCTCTCGTGCTTACTACTTTCCGCAATCGACTCACGTCTTGAAAGCTCAGAAGACTTTTCATCCTTGATACTTTCAGGCTTTTCATTATCATCTTTCACTGATTCGGCAACTGATCCCGGTCGTGATGGTTCCTTCGAGGCAGGAAGAGACTTTTCTTCCCTTATGCTTTCTGCTTTTGTACTTTCTGCAACAGATTCACGTCTGGACGGCTCCGCAGATTTATCGTCCTTCGGGCTTTCTGGCTTTTCATGCTCATCCTTCACGCTTTCTACCGCAGAGCCCGGACGTGATGGTTCTTTGGAAACAGGCAAAGATTTGTCATCTTTCACGCTCTCAGGCTTAGAACTCGCCGTAGCAGATTCTCGTCTTGAAGGGTCTGCAGACTTATCGTCCTTCACACTTTCTGGCTTTTCATGCTCATCCTTCACACTTTCTACCGCAGAGCCCGGACGTGATGGTTCTTTGGAAACAGGCAGAGACTTGTCATCTTTCAAACTCTCCGGGTGAGTGCTTTCCTCAATGGATTCTTTTCGGGACTGATCTGTAGACTTATCGTCCTTCACACTTTCTGGCTTTTCGTGCTCATCCTTCACGCTTTCTACCACAGAATCCGGACGTGATGGTTCTTTGGAAACAGGCAGAGACTTGTCATCTTTCAAGCTCTCAGGCTTAGATCCCTCCACAACAGATTCTCGTCTTGAAGGCTCTGCAGACTTGTCGCCCTTCACACTTTCTGGCTTCTCCTCCTCATCCTTCACGCTTTCTACCACAGAAGCCGGTCGTGATGGTTCTTTGGAAGCAGGCAGAGACTTGTCATCTTTCAAGCTCTCCGGGTGAGTGCTTTCCTCAATGGATTCTTTTCGGGACTGTTCGGCAGACTTATCGTCCTTCACACTTTCTGGCTTTTCATGCTCATCCTTCACGCTTTCTACCACAGAATCCGGACGTGATGGTTCTTTGGAAACAGGCAGAGACTTGTCATCTTTCAAGCTCTCCGACTTGATACTCTCGGCAATAGAATCTCGTCTTGAAGGCTCTGCAGACTTATCGCCCTTCACACTTTCTGGCTTCTCCTCCTCATCCTTCACGCTTTCTACCACAGAAGCCGGTCGTGATGGTTCTTTGGAAGCAGGCAGAGACTTGTCATCTTTCAAGCTCTCCGGGTGAGTGCTTTCCGCAATGGATTCTTTTCGGGACTGATCTGTAGACTTATCGTCCTTCACACTTTCTGGCTTTTCATGCTCATCCTTCACGCTTTCTACCACAGAATCCGGACGTGATGGTTCTTTGGAAACAGGCAGAGACTTGTCATCTTTCAAACTCTGAGGTTTAGATCCCTCCACAACAGATTCTCGTCTTGAAGGCTCTGCAGACTTGTCGCCCTTCACACTTTCTGGCTTCTCCTCCTCATCCTTCACGCTCTCTACCACAGAAGCCGGTCGTGATGGTTCTTTGGAAGCAGGCAGAGACTTGTCATCTTTCAAGCTCTCCGGGTGAGTGCTTTCCGCAATGGATTCTTTTCGGGACTGATCTGTAGACTTATCGTCCTTCACACTTTCTGGCTTTTCATGCTCATCCTTCACGCTTTCTACCACAGAATCCGGACGTGATGGTTCTTTGGAAACAGGCAGAGACTTGTCATCTTTCAAGCTCTCCGACTTGATACTCTCGGCAATAGAATCTCGTCTTGAAGGCTCTGCAGACTTATCGCCCTTCACACTTTCTGGCTTCTCCTCCTCATCCTTCACGCTCTCTACCACAGAAGCCGGTCGTGATGGTTCCTTGGAAGCAGGCAGAGACTTGTCATCTTTCAAGCTCTCCGGGTGAGTGCTTTCTGCAATGGATTCTTTTCGGGACTGTTCTGCAGACTTATCGTCCTTCACACTTTCTGGCTTTTCATGCTCATCCTTCACGCTTTCTACAACAGAACCCGGACGTGATGGTTCTTTGGAAACAGGCAGAGATTTATCATCTTTCAAACTCTCAGGTCTAGATCCCTCCACAACAGATTCTCGCCTTGAAGGCTCTGCAGACTTGTCGCCCTTCACACTTTCTGGCTTCTCCTCCTCATCCTTCACGCTTTCTACCACAGAACCCGGACGTGATGGTTCTTTGGAAGCAGGCAGAGACTTGTCATCTTTCAAACTCTCAGGTTTAGATCCCTCCACAACAGATTCGCGTCTTGAAGGCTCTACAGACTTATCGTCCTTCACACTTTCTGGCTTTTCATGTTCATCCTTCACGCTTTCTACCACAGAAGCCGGACGTGATGGTTCTTTGGAAACTGGCAGAGACTTGTCATCTTTCAAGCTCTCCGGGTGAGTGCTTTCTGCAATGGATTCTTTTCGGGACTGTTCTGCAGACTTATCGTCCTTCACACTTTCTGGCTTTTCATGCTCATCCTTCACGCTTTCTACCACAGAAGCCGGACGTGATGGTTCTTTGGAAAGAGGCAGAGATTTGTCATCTTTCAAACTCTCAGGCTTCGATCCCTCCATAAGAGATTCTCGTCTTGAAGGCTCTGCAGACTTATCGTCCTTCACACTTTCTGGCTTTTCATGCTCATCCTTCACGCTTTCTACAACAGAACCCGGACGTGATGGTTCTTTGGAAACTGGCAGAGACTTGTCATCTTTCAAGCTCTCCGGGTGAGTGCTTTCTGCAATGGATTCTTTTCGGGACTGATCTGTAGACTTATCGTCCTTCACACTTTCTGGCTTTTCATGCTCATCCTTCACGCTTTCTACAACAGAACCCGGACGTGATGGTTCTTTGGAAACAGTCAGAGATTTATCATCTTTCAAACTCTCAGGTCTAGATCCCTCCACAACAGATTCTCGCCTTGAAGGCTCTGCAGACTTGTCGCCCTTCACACTTTCTGGCTTCTCCTCCTCATCCTTCACGCTTTCTACCACAGAACCCGGACGTGATGGTTCTTTGGAAGCAGGCAGAGACTTGTCATCTTTCAAACTCTCAGGTTTAGATCCCTCCACAACAGATTCGCGTCTTGAAGGCCCTACAGACTTATCGTCCTTCACACTTTCTGGCTTTTCATGTTCATCCTTCACGCTTTCTACCACAGAAGCCGGACGTGATGGTTCTTTGGAAACTGGCAGAGACTTGTCATCTTTCAAGCTCTCCGGGTGAGTGCTTTCTGCAATGGATTCTTTTCGGGACTGATCTGTAGACTTATCGTCCTTCACACTTTCTGGCTTTTCATGCTCATCCTTCACGCTTTCTACCGCAGAAGGCGGACGTGATGGTTCTTTGGAAGCAGGTAGAGACTTGTCATCTTTCAAGCTCTCCGGGTGAGTGCTCTCCACAATGGATTCTTTGCGGGACTGTTCTGTAGATTTATCGTCCTTAAAACTTTCTAGCTTTTCATGCTCATCCTTCACGCTTTCTACCGCAGAAGCCGGACGAGATGGTTCTTTGGAAACAGGCAGAGATTTATCATCTTTCAAACTCTCCGGGTGAGTGCTTTCCGCAATGGATTCTTTTCGGGACTGATTTGTAGACTTATCGTCCTTCACACTTTCTGGCTTTTCATGCTCATCCTTCACGCTTTCCACCACAGAAGCCGGTCGTGATGGTTCTTTGGAAACAGGCAGAGACTTGTCATCTTTCAAACTCTCCGGGTGAGTGCTTTCCGCAATGGATTCTTTTCGGGACTGATTTGTAGACTTATCGTCCTTCACACTTTCTGGCTTTTCATGCTCATCCTTCACGCTTTCCACCACAGAAGCCGGTCGTGATGGTTCTTTGGAAACAGGCAGAGACTTGTCATCTTTCAAACTCTCAGGTCTAGATCCCTCCGCAAGAGATTCTCGCCTTGAAGGCTCTGCAGACTTGTCGCCCTTCACACTTTCTGGCTTCTGCTCCGCATCCTTCACGCTTTCTACCACAGAAGCCGGTCGTGATGGTTCTTTGGAAGCAGGCAGAGACTTGTCATCTTTCAAGCTCTCCGGGTGAGTGCTTTCCGCAATGGATTCTTTTCGGGACTGATTTGTAGACTTATCGTCCTTCACACTTTCTGGCTTTTCATGCTCATCCTTCACGCTTTCCACCACAGAAGCCGGTCGTGATGGTTCTTTGGAAACAGGCAGAGACTTGTCATCTTTCAAACTCTCAGGTCTAGATCCCTCCGCAAGAGATTCTCGCCTTGAAGGCTCTGCAGACTTGTCGCCCTTCACACTTTCTGGCTTCTGCTCCGCATCCTTCACGCTTTCTACCACAGAAGCCGGTCGTGATGGTTCTTTGGAAGCAGGCAGAGACTTGTCATCTTTCAAGCTCTCAGGTTTAGATCCCTCCACAACAGATTCTCGTCGTGAAGGCTCTGCAGACTTATCGTCCTTTACACTTTCTGGCTTTTCATGCTCATCCGTCACACTTTCTACAACAGAAGCCGGACGTGATGGTTCTTTGGAAACAGGCAGAGACTTGTCATCTTTCAAGCTCTCAGGTTTAGATCCCTCCACAACAGATTCTCGTCGTGAAGGCTCTGCAGACTTATCGTCCTTCGGACTTTCCGGCTTTTCATGCTCATCCTTCACGCTTTCTACCGCAGAGCCCGGACGTGATGGTTCTTTGGAAACAGGCAGAGACTTGTCATCTTTCAAGCTCTCAGGCTTAGATCCCTCCACAACAGATTCGCGTCTTGAAGGCTCTGCAGACTTATCGTCCTTTACACTTTCTGGCTTTTCATGCTCATCCTTCACGCTTTCTACCGCAGAGCCCGGACGTGATGGTTCTTTGGAAACAGGCAGAGACTTGTCATCTTTCAAGCTCTCAGGCTTAGATCCCTCCACAACAGATTCGCGTCTTGAAGGCTCTGCAGACTTATCGTCCTTCGGACTTTTTGCCTTCTCATGTTCATCCTTCACACTTTCTACCGCAGAGCCCGGACGTGATGGTTCTTTGGAAATAGGCAGAGACTTGTCATCTTTCAAACTCTCAGGCTTCGATCCCTCCATAAGAGATTCTCGTCTTGAAGGCTCTGCAGACTTATCGTCGTTCACACTTTCTGGCTTTTCATGCTCATCCTTCAGACTTTCTACAACAGAAGCCGGACGTGATGGTTCTTTGGAAACAGGCAGAGACTTGTCATCTTTCAAACTCTCAGGCTTCGATGCCTCCATAAGAGATTCTCGTCTTGAAGGCTCTGCAGACTTATCGTCCTTCACACTTTCTGGCTTTTCATGCTCATCCTTCACACTTTCTACAACAGAAGCCGGACGTGACGGTTCTTTGGAAACAGGCAGAGATTTGTCATCTTTCAAACTCTCAGGTTTAGATCCCTCCACAACAGATTCTCGTCTTGAAGGTTCTACAGACTTATCGTCCTTCACACTTTCTGGCTTTTCATGCTCATCCTTCACACTTTCTACAACAGAAGCCGGACGTGACGGTTCTTTGGAAACAGGCAGAGATTTGTCATCTTTCAAACTCTCAGGTTTAGATCCCTCCACAACAGATTCTCGTCTTGAAGGTTCTACAGACTTATCGTCCTTCACACTTTCTGGCTTTTCATGCTCATCCTTCAGACTTTCTACAACAGAAGCCGGACGTGATGGTTCTTTGGAAACAGGCAGAGACTTGTCATCTTTCAAACTCTCAGGCTTCGATGCCTCCATAAGAGATTCTCGTCTTGAAGGCTCTGCAGACTTATCGTCCTTCGGACTTTCTGCCTTCTCATGTTCATCCTTCACACTTTCTACCGCAGAGCCCGGACGTGATGGTTCTTTGGAAACAGGCAGAGACTTGTCATCTTTCAAACTTTCAGGTTTAGATCCCTCCATAAGAGATTCTCGTCTTGAAGGCTCTGCAGACTTATCGTCCTTCACACTTTCTGGTTTTTCATGCTCATCCGTCACACTTTCTACAACAGAAGCCGGACGTGACGGTTCTTTGGAAACAGGCAGAGATTTGTCATCTTTCAAACTCTCAGGATTAGATCCCTCCACAACAGATTCTCGTCTTGAAGGTTCTACAGACTTATCGTCCTTCACACTTTCTGGCTTTTCATGTTCATCCTTCACACTTTCTACCGCGGAGCCCGGACGTGATGGTTCTTTGGAAACAGGCAGAGACTTGTCATCTTTCAAACTTTCAGGTTTAGATCCCTCCACAACAGATTCGCGTCTTGAAGGCTCTGCAGACTTATCGTCCTTTACACTTTCTGGTTTTTCATGCTCATCCGTCACACTTTCTACAACAGAAGCCGGACGTGATGTTTCTTTGGAAACAGGCAGAGATTTGTCATCTTTCAAACTCTCAGGTTTAGATCCCTCCACAACAGATTCTCGTCTTGAAGGCTCTGCAGACTTATCGTCCTTCGGACTTTCCGCCTTCTCATGTTCATCCTTCACACTTTCTACCGCAGAGCCCGGACGTGATGGTTCTTTGGAAACAGGCAAAGACTTGTCATCTTTCAAGCTCTCAGGTTTAGATCCCTCCACAACAGATTCTCGTCGTGAAGGCTCTGCAGACTTATCGTCCTTCACACTTTTTGGCTTTTCATGCTCATCCTTCACGCTTTCTACCGCAGAGCCCGGACGTGATGGTTCTTTGGAAACAGGCAGAGACTTCTCATCTTTCAAACTCTCAGGTTTAGATTCCTCCACAACAGATTCGCGTCTTGAAGGCTCTGCAGACTTATCGTCCTTCGGACTTTCCGCCTTCTCATGTTCATCCTTCACACTTTCTACCGCAGAGCCCGGACGTGATGGTTCTTTGGAAACAGGCAAAGACTTGTCATCTTTCAAGCTCTCAGGTTTAGATCCCTCCACAACAGATTCTCGTCGTGAAGGCTCTGCAGACTTATCGTCCTTCACACTTTCTGGCTTTTCATGCTCATCCTTCACACTTTCTACCGCGGAGCCCGGACGTGATGGTTCGTTGGAAACAGGCAAAGACTTGTCATCTTTCAAGCTCTCAGGCTTAGAGGTCGCCGCTACAGATTCTCGTCTTGAAGGCTCTGCAGACTTATCGTCCTTCACACTTTCTGGCTTTTCATGCTCATCCTTCACGCTTTCTACTGCAGAGCCCGGACGTGATGGTTCTTTGGAAACAGGCAGAGACTTGTCATCTTTCAAGCTCTCAGGTTTAGATCCCTCCACAACAGATTCTCGTCGTGAAGGCTCTGCAGACTTATCGTCCTTCGGACTTTCCGGCTTTTCATGCTCATCCTTCACGCTTTCTACCGCAGAGCCCGGACGTGATGGTTCTTTGGAAACAGGCAGAGACTTGTCATCTTTCAAGCTCTCAGGCTTAGATCCCTCCACAACAGATTCGCGTCTTGAAGGCTCTGCAGACTTATCGTCCTTTACACTTTCTGGCTTTTCATGCTCATCCTTCACGCTTTCTACCGCAGAGCCCGGACGTGATGGTTCTTTGGAAACAGGCAGAGACTTGTCATCTTTCAAGCTCTCAGGCTTAGATCCCTCCACAACAGATTCGCGTCTTGAAGGCTCTGCAGACTTATCGTCCTTTACACTTTCTGGCTTTTCATGCTCATCCTTCACGCTTTCTACCGCAGAGCCCGGACGTGATGGTTCTTTGGAAACAGGCAGAGACTTGTCATCTTTCAAGCTCTCAGTCTTAGATCCCTCCACAACAGATTCGCGTCTTGAAGGCTCTGCAGACTTATCGTCCTTTACACTTTCTGGCTTTTCATGCTCATCCTTCACGCTTTCTACCGCAGAAGCCGGACGTGATGGTTCTTTGGAAACTGGCAGAGATTTATCATCTTTCAAACCCTCAGGCTTAGATCCCTCCACAACAGATTCTCGTCTCGAAGAAACTGCAGATTTTTCATCTTTTGGACTATCAAGTTTGTCGTGATCATCTTTTACACTTTCAACCACGGAACCTGGTCGGGATGGCTCTTTAGAGACTGGCTGAGACTTGTCATCTTTGATACTCTCCTTCTGATTACTCTCTTCAACGGATTCCCGCCTAGACGGCTGTGTTGACTTATCATCAATACGGCTTTCTGGCTTCATTAGTTCACCTTTGACACTTTCGGCAACTGATCCAGGTATTGATGCTTCCGTAGAGGCAGGTACAGACTTATCATCTTTCAAGCTTTCTGGTTTTGAACTTTCAGTTGATTTTAGATTTTCTGTCATTTCGTGGTCGTCTGTGCGTTGTGATACTTCTTTCTTTTTATCTGTTATAGTGAATTGCTGATGGACTTCCTTCTTCGCCATCTGTACGTCGTGGACTTCCGTTTTCGCAATCTGCACTTCAACCTCAATAGCTTCTTCAATCGTTGCAGGGCTTTCTAGAGATACCGTGTCTTCGCGATCCTTTACTTTAGTCAGTGCAACGGTGGGTTGTACAGGATGCGCTGGCAATTCATCTTCGGATGTTATATCGCTAGTTTCTTTTTCATCGGGTGTGCTTGCCAATTTTTTTTCGATTTTTTCAACCGGTTGCTCGTGCTTTATCGCCACTTTGTCGTTGTCCGGAATCGCTTCACTTATACTATCGATTTTCTTGACAAAGTCGACTTCAGTTGTCTTTCCGTCAGACTCTAGCTTAGCGGGGGCCTCTGCCTTCGAAATAATTTCGGGCTCAGGAATAATTTCTGCTACCTCTTCTATATCAATATCTTTGACAACTTTTTCATCTTCGGTTTCTTTTTCCTCTTTAGCAGTCTCTTCTTTGTGTGAAATGCTCTTCGCACCGGCATCTTGCGTGTCTTTCTCATAGAGCCCGAGGTCAGCTTCCTCATGAACCGGCAAGTCTGCCACCTCATCGGGTGTTTTTATAACATCACGCATTAGATTCTGTTGTGCCTCAAAAGTCATTTTCTTTGGTAAGACTCGCTCTGCAGAATCTATGCCAGTAGCATGCGGCTCAGCAGCGACCGCTAATTTAGTTTCGGTTGCAGCAATAATTGCCGCCGCTGCCGCTGCCGCTGCCGCTGTTGCGACAGGCACAGCCACAGTAGCCACAACAATGGACTCAATTTCCTTGGTTTCCTCTTTCACATATTTTTCCTCGATAACTAGGTCCTCCTTAATTTTGTCCAATGGAATTCGTTCATCTTCGGGTAGTGTTGGAGCTGTAGTAGCTCCCGATTCGATTGTGGCTGAGAATTTTTCCTCTGGAAGACTTTCCTGTAAATTAATGGGCGGCAACTCAGGTGCTTCAATCAGCTCGTCTTTAGTATCAGAAGTTTTCTTGGCGCTGCTGAGCTTATCATCGGGCGTAGGAGAGGAGAACTCCTCTTCAGCATGCTTGGCCTGGGGTAGTTCCTCAGTGCGAGACTTGACAATGTCCTTGGCAGTGGATATGATATCTTGAACCTCAGCCTTGATTTCCGTTTTCTCTGGACTGGCTAACTGTTCGTGCAGTTCATGCCTCGCTGCTTCACTGCTCTCCAGACGAGCCTTACGCTCCTCTGCTTCAGCCTTTGCGATTGCGGCTTCGATTTCCTCCTCTGCACTTTTCTTACGCTTTTTCTCTGACTCTTGCGAGTCGCGCTGATGCTTTTGAATCTCTTCTTCCTTGGTCATACTGCTCTCCTGCTCTTGCTCAATAATTGAGTCCTCTGTGTACTGTTCCACCTCTTCCTTTTCAATAATCAGGTATTCCTCTTCTTCGTCGGCTTCCGTTGTGCTGTCCTGCTTGGCCATCTCCCGCAGCTCCGCCTTGATCAAGTGCTGCCGTTTCATCTCGTCGCGACTGAAAACTGCTTCTATTTCTCGCACAACTTCCTGTTCCTCCTTAAGGTCATCCAATTCGCGCTGCTTTTCAGCATCTAACTCCTGTGAGGCACTTAGCTCTAGCATCTTTTTGGCTGCCGTCGCCTCATCCGCCGACGGTGTGGACACCAAGCTGGAGTCTGTAGTGCCACCCTTATCCAGTCGTGACTTCTTTAAATCAGGTTTTGGCTTAGCTGACTTAATTGGACTGCCAGGCGCCGGAGCTCGCTTAGAGGGGGAGACTCCTCGTGGCCTTCGAGAGATGGGCTTGCGTTGCGCTGCTTGCATCGTTGCCTGCTGCGTTGCCTTCGACTCCACTGACTTCTTCTCTACGGTGCTAACAGTGCGACGTGTGCTGGTTGTGCTTTGCCGGGCCGCTGTCGCCTGTTGCTTGGACTCAAGCACCTTGCGGTTGTTGGCCTCTTTGGCGCTCTTGGCAGGCGTGCTGCTGGGACTCGACTTGGTAGTGCGTGTCATTACCTTCGGTTTGACATCACGCGTAGCTGGCGTTCGGCTCACAGCTGGTGTGGCAGTAGGCGAGCTCTTTTTCTCCTCACGCTTAACCAGTTTGCGGTCCATGGATTTTGGCGGCTTGCTGTCAATTCTTGAGCGTATAACTGGCTTTACTTCCGCTCGAGGCTTATCCGGCTTGCCCTTGGTGGCCTTCGCTGCCTTGCTGCTAGCTTCTGTTGCGGGTGCATCAACTGCATCCTTGGCAGACACAGCTGACGGTTGTGGCTTGACAATCAACACCTCTACCTTTTTCTCTTCATCAGTGTCCTTGTTGTCTTCCTGCTCAGCTGGCTCTGTGGAAGGAATGGATGGCTCTGGCGCTCCCTCGTCACCAGTGTCGATAGCGAGCTCGGGTTCAGGTTCAGCGTCTGGCTCATCCGTGTCTATGGAGTCCGCTTTAGCACTCAGAAGCGGTGTGGGTTGTTCCACTTGTTCACCGGGTGTTTCCGTTAAGACAGCCACTGCTGCGGCAGCTACTGCAGCAGCTGCTGCTGCTGCGGCTGCCGCTGCTGCGGCTTCCTTAGCTTCCTTTGCCTTGTTATCCTGCTGCACAGCCACGGCTGCAATAGCAGTTGGACCGAATTTACTAGATTTGTAGCTAGCACTGGGTGGAGTTCCTTCGATAGCTGATTTTAGTGTCTTTCGAGTACTTGTCACAGTCTGTATAGCTGGAGCTATTGACTTGGCCGTGCAGGTGGAGTGCTTCATAAACTCCAGATGCTTGAGCTTCTCGAGACCCTCTTGGATCTTGAAGTCTGGTGTACTGCCCGGAAAGAGGATACGTGTGATAGTATCATCCGGGTTAGCTGGCTGCCAGACGAGTAGCGCGCAAATGGATACCAAATTCTGCAAGGGAAAATTAAACTCCTTGGTGTCGCGTGCCGTAAACAGACGCTGATCACCCGAATTCCATTTTTGTAGAAACTCTTTGACCTCTTTGGAGTCCCGCGAGGGACTTATCACATACATATCTAGGGTACCGTGGCCAACCTTGTGGTACAGGTTTATGGGCTCTTGATTGCGATAGCAGCACTGCGGCTTGAGGTCAAGCGACTTGAGATCGTTGACCAAGCCATGACCCCGCTCAAACAGATCGATGAGCAGTGGATTGCGATCCTTATCACCATCGGGACTGGGCAGACCACCCTTCCGGTCGGGCACATTGCCGAAGAAGTGCCCAATCTGTGGATAGACGTGCGAGTCCCGCTTGCGTGATACCACAGCTCCCAGTCCCTGGACATTGCTGTTGTTCAGGCGCGTCATCAGCACCGCATCCAGGCGATCCAAGTGCCGTGCAAAGTCCCAGAAGCAAGCCTTACGATTGAAGCCGCCATCAACTGCAAAAGCACACGGATTACTTAGCAGTCATATAGCTTCAACAACTTTTTCTATTATTTACCTAGCATGTTAAAGCCGTTGATGCCAAAAAGAGCGGCATCACCCTGGCCTCCGGGAAATACATAGAGCGTAGGGTGTGTGAAACGTATATTGCCCACCACATCCGACGTCTCTAGCAACTCTCGCAGAGAAGTTGGCACCAGCATTGGCGCCAGATAATCTGTAAGTCACGCAACGTAATTAAGCTCCCAAGAAATGATTAATTTTTGTTGATGCAAGTGGTACCTATAAAGCCGTTGATGTACTCGCTGCTGGTATCCAGCACATCCACCGGATTGATGCGTATTTTACACTGCCGTGAAAAGACCTTATCCGGTAATGTGTGCCAGAGCCCAGCATCTGCACAGTGTATATTCATCGTTATGGTATCCGCATAGGCGCGTATCACCCTTTGTACGTCGTGCTCTTGAAATGCCTCCGCAAAGTCAGCCACCGAGAAGGTGCCATCCTGAAAGAGCAATACATTTTTACCTTACGCATCGCCTGTTCACATTCATGGCTAACCTGTAGGATCCAAGAACCGTTGCCACTAAAGGTGTAGCCAGCGTGTATAATATGCCGATGCCTCGTAAAACTACTGAGTAGATTACGCATGCATTGTATAAGCGTATTGTATTGTGGATGTATGAGCACCTCCGTCACAAGATTCTCACTGGCATATTGTATAAGTCGCTCACCTGCAATGATTATGGATAATAATATATGCGATTGCCACAACTAGGGTAGAACTGTGCAGATAAACCCATTTGCTTGCAACGCTTAGAGCAGTCAAAGTGAATCGTTAGACTCTTCTTTGAATCTGGCCTAAGTACAAGAAGCTAATCTTTTAAATGGTCATCTGCTAGAAATTCGCTTGAAATGAAAAGGAAAGCCTAAAAGCCATTAATATTTTGTTATATATATGAGTAAACGGACTAGGCTTGTGTCTAGGACAAAGGCGCGGGGCAAGGCGGCGGCAATACATTCAAGTAGCTCGTTTGGTCTTTAGAGCTTCTGGCAGCCTCCGCTCCCGCATGCTTCACGTTCACTACAACTGCCTACCACGCAGAAATTTTATTATTTGCGGTAAGCCTGACTCAGCTAACCAAACGGCTGGTCGGCTAGGGGTTTGGTGTGTCTAGTTGAACTACTATTCAACGTTAACCCACCGAGCTCACTAATGAATAGCTAAAACGTCGAGTGGCAAGCACACAAGAGGCTTGGATTACCAAACGCTTGAGTCCCGGCCAGAGAATCCAAGCATTAGGCACGCACACCAAATCAAGTGGCTTTAAATTGTCCGACAGTGGGGCGGGGCTGGGACCACACGCTGCGCTGGCTTTAGCTAAGTTGGCTTTATTGTCAAGCATTTCATTCGCATTGGTCCCAGCGCTGCATGGCGACTGCAGTCGACTGAAAAATCGTTTCATAAATCTTTAATTTTTATGGTTTAATTAAGATTTTCAGCCGGCCCTAGGGCTCGCTGGCTGACCAATTGTATCGCGCGTGCCACAAGCATAAAAGATGCGACCTTGCTGACGACCTTGCCATGTCATTTGCTGTCGACCATCATCATCATCAGCATTGGATGAGTGGGCAATTCTGGTCGCTCCCAGCACTAAATGCTTTTACAGCGTTGCCCTATGTAAATAATTTACGCATTTTCTGCACTAAATAGTCGTTGACAAAGCCAAAAAAAAAGAGAGAAAAATAAATAAAAGGAAAAAAATGAGCGCACATGACATGTCACTACCTATACAAACATGCACACACGCATGTTTTCTAAGTGTGTGTGTGTGTGTGTGTGTGCACATTACGTATACGGCACGTCGACCTAACGGTCAAATGTGCCCACGTACGCGTAAAAAAAAGCGACGAGCCATCGAGCCATCGAGCCTGAAGTGTGCCCAAGCGTGCACCTACGTATGGCTTCAGTTGCTTCAAGCTAGACGCCTTTCGCCTCGCTCTGACTCGCCAGCTCTACAGCGGTCCAGTGTCACGCTGCTTTTGTAGCCCTCATGCTCTTTATAAATGATCATCTTTACAGCGACTTGCGTGCGACATTTATTTATCAGCTCTATACACAGCCCTATGCACACACAAAAGAAAGTGCTTTATTGTGCGTGTGTGTGTGTTTGTTTGTGTGCGTATATGTTTGTTTGTAAAGCTCAGTGACATACATGCCCGCACATTTTGGCCTGGATGGGCTTAAGCACATGCGGCACCCGTGCGTATACGCAATTTGTGAATTAAGGTATGCAAGTTTCGCGTATTTTCCTACTGCCTCAACAGGCCCCAGCCGGCGCGTGACAATTTGAGTTTCATAAATAAAATGCGGTTAGAGCATTTGCATCTCATTAACGACATGACGGCAGCTCCAAAGTGTCATTCTGTATAAATCAAATCGAGTGACGGCTACGCGCTTACACTCACAGCCCACCGACCATTTGATGCTCTTGAACTCATTGTTTACAGACTTAAGCTTGCTCCACCTGAGACAAGCTCTGGTGAAATACCTATTCAAGTTTAATTGAAATTTTATTGAGTTCTGGGTCGTACAACACAATTTATCCGCTTGTTGTCTAACAAGTTGGTAACGATGCCAGGGGATCCAAGCCATTAGTAAATATAATAAAAAGTCAATTGGAAAGTGCGCACTTATGCCAGATGGCTTAGCCTTCTTTGGCAAGAGTTGCCTTGAAAGTATTTACTATTTCGTATGTCCAACTACAAATGGCACTTAAGAACTTGCTTGGCCAAAAGACCACAAAGACTGTACTGTCTACTGGCAACGTTGAACAGCTACGAACCAATAGGCTGAGTGGCGTGTGGCGTGTGGCAAGTGGCGAGTGGCAGATCAGGGACCCAATCGCGGCTCAAAGTTTGCAAAGCCACATACAATGCCAAAGTTGCATCCAACTTGGTGGCAAACAATGCCCACAATGTCCCCTGCCGCCCTGCCCCCCTGCCAACCCTTCAACCCTGCGCCTTTCAGCAATATAATGCCAAATGGCGACATGAATGTAGTAAAAAAAAAGAAGAAAAAAAGGAAGGGCTGAGGGGGAAGAACTGGCTTCGGGTTGGGTTTCGTGTCAAGTGCAGTTTTTCGCATTGCGAAGTCCATTGAAAAGTTTTCGCGCTGGCCGCACCTAACCAAAATGGCGAACGACCGCATATTAACCGTTAATAACTGTACTTTAATGCCTACGCTCGGAATGCTGCCAAGTTAGTGAAACAAAACAAATTTGCATAACAAGAGGCGGAAACTTTTTGTGTTTTATGATTTCTCTCCTGGCCTCTCTCTCACTCCTTTGTTTTTCTCTCCGCACATTCCTTTTGTTTTTTATTTCGTTTCATTTTTCTGCCGGACTGCAAAGTAATTACAGTTGGCGCCGGTCACCAGCCGGCACTGAAGTCCTCTGGTCCCGCCCGCATAACACGTCGAATGGACGTGTAAAAAAAACTTTTTCCAATTGCACTTTTCAGCTCTAGCCGGTGCCTGGAACTAAACTCGCCTCAAAATGGAGTCCACATAAATTGATCTATAACAGCGACGGCAGGGATTATTTGAAGAAGGCATTGAGTAGCCCGAAGCGAGTATGGCTACATTAATGATTAGCTTGGAAGTCGCAGTGCTCCATATGAAAGGGCAACGAGGACACTGAGTGACATCCTCAAATTGTTCAATCAGTAAGCTCGCTGGATCGTGTTTGAGCTGTGGCATCTCGGATTGAGTTAACTGGCAGTTAACGAATTTACAGCCTGGCTGCACAATTATACAGATATTCACGCTTCAGAGCGGCAAAATCGCGTTGATTTATGTAGTTGAAATGCGCTTAACGCACAAAAACCCAGGCTGAAAGGTATTTTAATTAGTTTGTCGAGTTGAATTCAATTTGAATGCGACATGTGGCACGTGGCACGTGCGTCATTAATCAAAAGCGGGCAACGGCATCATACATCAGGCTTTGGTTACAACAGCAACAAGAATCTAGACGCTGTCATCTCTAGGCTCTCGTCTGTTGAACAAACCCAATAACATGTTGTAAGCGTCAAAGTCTTGGCAACTGGCCCAGTTGTCTGCCATGCCGGGGCAGACCTCTGCTGCATAATTCAAATTAAACCAGATGCCCATAAAATGTCCCACGTCAACTAAACTAGGCTCTGCTTGATTCAAGCCGGTGCATGTCAGGGGCGTCATTGATAAGCGTCGCTGATAGCGATTGATGCCCGTCGACGTGTGCTACTCACGCTCATCTTTCATGGACCACGCTTTCTAGCTGCACTTATTTTTACAGTTATATTTATACAAGGTACTGCAGCTTAAGCCCCACGACTCTTTTCTCACTTTTGTTTCCTTTTCGCTTTGCATATTCAATATTATTGAATTCCTAAAAACTATCCTGTCAAATTTCAGTTCAGGCCTCAATAAATTCCATTGCGAAATTCCATTGGAAAATATATCTAACTATCGATAATGATGAAATGCCATAGATTGCATAGACATCAGCCACGTTTAATAAGCTAACTCTGTCTGTCTCTGTCTCTCTCTCTCACTCCATCTCTCTCTTGTTATTTGCTTAACGAGAAAGGTGTTTGCTGAATATTTAATGGAATTGGAATTCAATTTCTTAAACTATTTTGATTTGGCTCAGTTTATTACGAGCATCACACATCGACTATTGTTGTGGCATGTGTGGCAAGTGTGTGAAGTGTGCGGCATTGTGGAATAAGAGCATTTTATAGTTTTAATTTCATGCCGCAACACTTGCATTCGCTTATCTCTACTGCCAGCTATGTGTGCCTCTGGCAGGCAGCTCGCTTCGCTGCGAGCTCAGCTGGAGCGTGCAGTTCCTCTTGGAGTGTGCGCGTATTCATATGCAAAGTGTAACTGTCTTTATCTAGTGTGTGTGCCTGGGTGTGTGGGTGTCCGGCCGGCATTCAGTTATTTGCCTAACTTTTGCCTGTTGGGGCAGGGGCGCAACCATCTTATTGTATTTCTTTCTCTCATTTTTTGTGCCATCCTGTTCGTTGGCTGTGCTTGAATTATGCATGAGCTGCACAGTCGTTGTCAATATGGCCTTGTCCGTTATACGCGCGTGACTGTGTGCGTGGCTGTGTGGGCGTGAGAGGGCATTCGTTCTACTGTATGTGTGTTTGCCTGGCTCTATCAATCAATTTTGCATACGCTTTATCTCAAGAATTCGTATGGCTTTAAAGGTTATGTGCATGTTAATGCTGTGCGCTTACAGGAGCTTAGCCAGAGCAACGTGTGCTAAGTCTACAATGAAACGCTTGTTGGCAAATAAAAATCTGACAAGTGAAAGTATGACGAGTAGCGCGTCGTGGGGAGACGGCTGCTAAGTGTAAGGATTAGATTTGATTTATGAGTCGCATATAAAATACTAACGAATAGTAGTCAACGAGTAGCGAACGAAGTTGTGAAATCAAATATAAAGTAACGAGCTGAGCTTGGGCAGAGGCAGACAATCGCGAGCAGGGACTAGAAAGTATGGAATAGCGAGTATAAACTAACGAGCAGAGAGTAGCGATTAGCGTGTAAAGATACTCAGTAGATTGACGGATAACGGATAAAACTAATGAGTAAACTATAATGAGTAACGAATGTAGTGAGAATATGAATACAAATTATTGTACTACAATTAGATAGCAGATAGTTGAAAGAATAGTGAAGAAGGGAGTAAGACGAGAGAGAGTATAGAATAGAGAGTAGAGAGTAGCGAGTAGCGAGTAACGAGTAGCGAGTAGCGAGTAGCGAGTAGCGAGTAGCGAGTAACGAGTAACGAGTAGCGACTAACGAGTAGCGAGTAACGAGTAGCGAGTAACGAGTAAAGAGTAGCGACTAACGAGTAGCGAGTATCATGTAACAAATTGAAATTCAATTATGAATCAAGTCATTACAATTCGTTTAGCGTTGTCAACAACCTTGAAACACTTTCTAGACAGTGCAGTTAATGGGAAATAGCTTCCGCTATAAGTGAACTCAGCCGTAGCGAGTTGCTTAAGTTGTCCGACTAACAAAACTAAAGGAACTTTAAGCGACAAGCCACTTAGTGTTATTAATGCCACGATTAATCAAATAGATAAAAGAATGGCAGGAAGGAAAAACAGTTGCAGCTGGGCACTGGCTGGGGCTAGCTAGTGTCGGGCAACTAATGAGTAGCTCGCTGTAAAGCTGAGTTTTTTATGTCCCAGCTCAAGTAGGATCGCAGCAAGCACCGTGGGGTATTTGGAGTGGCTCGGAGCTGCTCGGTGGCAAAGTTTGTGCAGCGAACTTTGTCCCAAGTCCCGCAAGGAAACTTAAGCAAACTGCATCAAATTCAATTTTAAAGCATAACTTTGTCGTTGATAATGAAGAACGACGCCGCTGAAGAGTATAAGCCATAAAATATATATATTATGCGCTTGTTAACAAATGTTTGTAATTGCTCAAAAAGTTGCCCCAACTGCCGTGGCAGAGTGAAAGCTTTCAACTTGACAGGACCTTATGGAGAACATGAAAGGCAAGCCGAAGCTCCGGCTTTCGCTTGTTAGCAGCAGCTGACAGTTGTTGGGCCAACAAAGTGGCGTTAGGTAAACGATATCTGTCGACTGCATCATAGTGGACTGTGCATACCAGAGGCGCTATCCTGAATGAAGGACAGCGCTTTGTCAGCGAAGGTGACGACTTTTATCGACTTGCCAACGGCTGGCTGCCTCCTAACCTTTGTCAAATTATAGTGCCCCGTGAAGTCTATGCAATGCACACAAAGCCACCAAAGCCGCCAAAGCCTCACAAAGCTCCAAGCGCCAAGCTACAAGCAGCAAACATCAAGCATCGAGGCGTGTGCATCTCACCATCTCACCATCTTGGCATCTTGGCATCTTGGCATCTCAGGCATTACAGCAATATTTTAGATATTCAAAACTTTAGTATTTTCAACTGCAATTGAAATGATGCGTCCTTCAGCGTGGCCCATTCTTATGCCGCTTGGCCAGCATCATTATTGAGAGCAGACACTTGAGAATTTTGTTTGAGTAGTTTTTTTGCGGACTGTGTAAACAAAAATGCGAATGCGGAATTCACTTTGCCAAGTGCTCCTCCTGGACAATGGCAGAAAGGCATTGAGCGCAGGTGCTGTTCTTGCACTTACCAGCAACGGCAACGACAACGGCAACGGTAACGCCTGCTAGCCCAAGGACGGACTCTGTGCATATCACATTGACATTCGTGCGCTGCAAAGTATGCTACAAATTTGTATTTTCATGCTGCAGCCAGCAGCTGTTGTTCGCACAAGCTCGAGCTAGCAGAAGTTTGCCAGCGAGACCATAAAATAAATGGAAAACAATTTGTAATAAATTACACGGCATAAGCAATCACAACTCTTGAATAAAATATTACACTTTAAGTATATATAAATAGTGGAAAACATAATTGAAAAGTAGCCTAATAAAAGCTGAAGCTGAAGCCCAACTCAACTAGAACTTATTTCATATTCGACTTTTGCCATCTCGACTTGACTTTTCTTTGTTAGCGAACTTTGTTTATGCCGTGAATAGCAAAATATTTGCATTGCAAGTTTGCTTTGCTAATGTTCCTTTGATATTAAGTCAGAGTGCAAGAAGCGCGCTCGTTACGTGACTAAGGAGCGCAGCTTAGCCACTAAACTGTTTGATATGGCGACTGTCAAGTATAATTCTAATAAGCCCATGAAGCATGTAGCTTCTAATTTGTGTATAGCTGCAACAATAGTCATATTTGGCTAACGACGAGCAGGCAGCTAGGCAGCCAGGCAGAGCAACAAACAAACAAGCGAATAAGAAGAAAGAAAAACAAACAACAGCAAAACAGTGGAGCGAGAGGGGGTGGCTGGCTGTGCAGCCGATGCAGTGCAGCCACTTGAATGCGTTTCAACAACGTTGTCCCGGCTAATCCGCAAAGACAGCCAAATCCGAGAGGCCCGCACAATATCCCGACACTTGGCTGGCTTTGTTGCATTGTTGTTTATGTTGGAAAATGAAAATGAAAATGAAAATGCGCCACTCCAATTCGGATTCGGATTCGGATTTAATATTACACAAAAGCCATACAGAGAACAAAGGCACTAAGAGCTGAGCGCCGAGAGCATTGGGCTCTTTGATAAATGCCAATTGTGAAAAGCTGTTGAAAGACAATTGTCATAATTTGTTAGAATGATTTTGTAGTTTTCAACTGCTACTTCAATAGTTGAATAATTGCATAGTCAGCGCTCGAAAAGCAATTTACATCTGCTTGCGTCAACGTGAACTTTTCGACGGGCAAATTGAAAAGCAAATGTCAAACAAAATGTCAAACTTTGTTCGTCAGTTAATTAACAAATGAATTTCGCTTATTACTATTACTTTTTTCATTCACTTCACTCTTTAATGAGCTGGCAAGTTGACAGCTTTCAATTGGATTGAAATTCGATTTCTATTTGCGGCCCAATTAGCTGAGAGTTTCACTTGACATTTGACTTACCGTGACGCGCCTCCTCGCCCTCGGGTGCATGTTGTGTGATTGTATTGAGCTCCTCCTCCAAGTCGACATGACAATCGGATACATCCCAGGAGAGAAAACCTGCAAACGAAACAGAAAAGAAAGCAGGTGAGACAAGTCGCTAGGCACAAAAGCAAGTTTCCTACAAAGGCAAAGAATTGAAATGAAATGAATTAAATTGATTTGTGAAACGTTTGATAGCAATATTTCCCATTAAGCTTAGAGATGTTTTAATATATATATAAATATGTAAATATATATATATATATACATATATTTCCTCTTTAGCTTCCTTTAGATTTATAGTAGAGAAACAACTCCAAAAAGCCCATATGCCTCCAAGCTGCTTTGCTAAGATATTCATGCTTTAGGCCTTCTCTCGTTAACTTTCATCACTGTGGCAATGTCTTTAATGTAATTATCTAGCACAATTTGAGTTCGGCTTGCCAGAAGCCATTGGCCAATGCCACTGAAATAAATTGCTCTGCCAATTGGGCTCATTATTCATAGGCAGCGCACGTTTCACTGTCTTATCCACATCAATGCTAATCAGTCTTCTTCTGCCTAATGAAAGTACATTTATATCGTATCATATTCGGCAATTACGCATGACTTGTCTGAAATGCATCCGCCGTAAATGTTGACCAGCTGCCATAAAGCTGCTTGGCTCATTTATCACAGCGTCGTTTACACACTTAATTTCTATGTAGTTGATAAATTTTTCATTAATTTTATAATTACACAATGTGTCATGAGACGTTGTTATGTTGCAACTATTTTATTTTATTTTTTTTTGTTTTTGCCATTTTGATAAATGGCCAACATGAGACAACAAAAACGCAGAACTTGCGACTCCTTCTGCACGTTACGTATACGTCATGTGGCACACATCGCAGTCAGCTGTGTGCTGTGTCTTTAGCTGGCCTTCTCTGCTTCCCTTTCTCTTGATATTTAGCCGGCCCGCATAGACTAGCTTTATATCTATATATAGCCAGTGCCAGACCCAATGACAGTTGGCCTCTTTGGGTATTATGTCATTTAGTAAACAAATTAAGTCAGCCTTCGCTCACAGGGCGTGTGTGCGTGTGTGTGTGTGTGTGTACATTGTACTTCAGCGTAAGTATTTGCAAATACAAATACCAAAATAGTTGGCTCTTCAGCCTAAAGAAAAAAAGAATGAAAAGTGCATCATTAGCATTTCCTTTTGGTGTGCCACAAACTATTTGCCCGGAATTTGCGCTTGTTATACCCTGATCCCATTAAAAATGGGAAATCAGGGTATAATGGTTTTGTGCAAATGTATGTAACAGGCAGAAGGAGGCGTGGCAGACCCCATAAAGTATATATATTCTTGATCAGGACGACAAGCCGAGTCGATTGAGCCCTGTCCGTCTGTCTGTCTGTCCGTCTGTCCGTCTGTCCGTCTGTCCGTCTGTCCGTCTGTCCGTCTGTCCGTATGTGTGAACGCGTGGATCTCAGCATCTATAAGAGCTAGAGACTTGAAATTTTTTTGTAGGTCCGTGTATAGCACGCGCAGGTCAAGTTTGTTTCAAATATTCGATAACTATTCGCATTTAATTGTTATCGAATAAAAACATTATTGAAATACAGTAAATAAATTATATCTCGAACATCTTAAGAGCTAGAGACTCCAAATTTTGTATTTAGTCTTATGTATATTTTATGCAATTTTGATTTTTGTTGGATTTTGGATACCGGATCCAAATTCCCCCAAATTCTTAGAATTTAAGTTTAGTTGGAACTAGGGCCATTATGTCAAGGCGTTTGCATCTCAACTAAGCCAATAGGATATGTAGATCATATGCTGAAAATTTCATTAAAATCCATTAAGTAAAACAGAAGTTATTAAACAAAACGTTTGGCCAATTTGCAAAAGCACATGTCAGCAGCGCCACGCGCACGCATTTTTCCTATGCATGTGCACACATTCATTCAAATGCGTGTATTCTTTTCTATTCCAAGAATTGAAATTGCGATTGAATTGTGCTGAATATTAGCTGCTACTTATGTTCAAATATGCAACAGTCCATGTAAGAAGAACGGTGGCGGCGTTGGTAGAGGCGCCGCTCGCATGCAGCTTGGTTCGGGTTCGACACCAGTGGAGATGAAGTGTTTTTTATTGTTTTATTTTTTTTTTTAGTTATGAAGTGGCGGTGTTGGTAGAGTTTGTGCACGTTGCGTAAATAATCCGGGTTCGAATCCTGGTCTCGCAATGTCGATTTTTATTTGTTATTATTTAAATATTATTTAAATGAGTTTGTAATAACAAAACTCAAAGGACTGGGATCAGGGTATCTCCTAGTCGGGCACCCCGACTAGAGCTTTCTTACTTGTTTTTTAATGGCTAACAGCAAAATGAAATGCATTTCAAATAACTATTAAATGTTTGAGCTGTAGCCGCTTTAAGGGCTCTTCACTACTCTAATTGCTAAATGTTCGCCTTTTCTTTCCCAGCCTTTCCCGCTTTCGCTTCTTGTGTGTGCTTTGTATATGTTTCGGTCTGAACATATTCAAATATGAGCCGAGTCTGGCTAGTCCCATTTGGTTGCTTGGGGACTGCAAGGCATTTGGAATTTAATGAGCGCCAGACACGAGTTCTTTTCGTGCACACTGCAATGAATAAGTTATTATAATGATGCCTTAATGAGCGCTTAACTTTCATTTTTGATGCCTGGCGACTGCCCCGTAGACGTTAATGAAGCTGTCAACTCAAGTCAAGTGTCGGCCAGTGCGGAGCACACGAAAGGACAGATTTACAAACCTTTAAACTGATTTGCTGCCAGGTCGCATGCCAGGCGAGAGTCAATGTTAAAGTGCAGCTGACACTGGCTGCTGTTTGACTGATTCTATCTAATTAGTGTTTATACAACAACTACTAAAACACAACAAAATGTTTCTCTCCCTTTCTGTCTGTCCCTTTATCCAATTGTTAACTAAAAACAAATTGTTTTCGAAGTGTTTCCAATCATCGCATTCGATTTGGCATGTCCTTTGCTGCTCTGAGCCCTGCTTGCTGCCACTGCCTGGCATGGCTAGTAGCCAGCTACTGCTCCTCTCTCTTAGCTGCACACTGTTGAGCAATTTGCACAAATGGCTGGCAGCAGCAACAAAAGGCAATGGCACAAAACGAACAAATTCAAAGAGAAGAGAAGAGAAAAAAACAAGTAAGAAAGCTCTACTCGGGGTGCCCGACTAGGAGATACCCTGATCCTAGTCCTTTGAGTTTTGTAATATTTTCCGTAGTTTGTATCGAGAATTAAAAAAAAAAGAAAACAAATAAAAATCGACATTGCGAGACCAGGATTCGAACCCGGATTATTCGCGCAACGTGCACAAACTCTACCAACACCGCCACTTCATAACTAAAAAAAAAAAATAAAACAATAAAAAACATTTCATCTCCTCTGGTATCGAACCCGGACCAAGCTGCATACGAGCGGCGCCTATACCAACGCAGCCACTGCCCTTCTTTCGCGATTTGTTGCAAATTTGAACATAAGTAGCAGCTAATAATTCAGCACAATTCAATCGCAATTTCAATTCTTGGAATAGAAAAGAATGCACGCATTTGAATGTATGTGTGCACACGCATAGGAAAAATGCGTGCGCGTGGCGCTGCTGACATGTGCTTTTGCAAATTGGCCAAACGTTTTGTTTAATAACTTCTGTTTTACTTAATGGATTTTAATGAAACTTTCAGCATATGATCTACATATCCTATTGGCTTGGTTGAGATGCAAACGCCTTCACATAATGGCCCTAGCTCCAACTAAACTTAAATTCTAAGAATTTGGGGGAATTTGGAGCCGGTATCCAAAATCCAACAAAAATCAAAATTGCATAAAATATACATAAGACTAAATACAAAATTTGGAGGCTCTAGCTCTTAAGACTTTCGAGATATAATTTATTTACTGCATTTCAATAATGTTTTTATTCGATAACAATTAAATGCGAATAGTTATCGAATATTTGAAACAAACTTGACCTGCGCGTGCTATACACGGACCTACAAAAAAAATTTCAAGTCTCTAGCTCTTATAGATGCTGAGATCCACGCGTTCACACATACGGACAGACGGACAGACGGACAGACGGACAGACGGACAGACGGACGGACAGACAGACGGACAGGGCTCAATCGACTCGGCTTGTCGTCCTGATCAAGAATATATATACTTTATGGGGTCTGCCACGCCTCCTTCTGCCTGTTACATACATTTGCACAAAACCATTATACCCTGATTTCCCATTTTTAATGGGATCAGGGTATAATAATGAAATGCGCAAAAAAAAAAAACAAGAACAACAACGACAAGTTGAGCATGCGGCATAAAAATGTAAAATCTTAACACTTTTCACACACACACACACACACAGACACATGAGCCGGATCAGTATATTGTGCGGGCAAACAAAAAAAGCTTCACAACAATAGGGATAAAGACGGAAGGGTCGTGGGAAAGGCAGCGCCCAAAGCGCCTACAGCGATTGCACAAAAATAATGAGGAAACGCGCAGGATGTGCACACACACACACACACACGCACACACATGTATTTATAGCTGTGTTGGACGCTCTCTTGAGCAATCATCGGGCGAATGAAGCCACTCAGACGCTGGGAACAGCGCACAGAAACGTAGCTCGCTGTCTGGAGCTGAGTCTGAGGCTAGGTGGCGCCACAGTGCCGTTCTTTGTGTGTGCGTGTGTGCGTTCGCACATTCATTTAGTATTTATGCGTTGATATCTGCGAGTGAGTCTTCAATTTTTCATGTGCGCCCGTGTGTGTGTGTGAGGCTGGCACTCATTTATTTATATAATTTCTTGCTCAGCTTCGCTTCAATGTCAAGTGTTTAATTTGTAACCTTTGCATTTCGTGCGGAGCGGGCGCGCCTTTGTTTTATTACTGAATTACGCAACGAGCTCTGAGAAATGAACAATCAAATACCCCAGCTTGGCTAATATTGTTAATTATAATTAAGATCTAGGCATTCTCCTGGGCTCAGGCAGGTAGATATTTGTGTAATAGAGATTTATGATGATAGCATTAGGGGAATCTG